TATATACCTATAAAAATTTATACAAAAAAAGCTCTCAATTACATCAATTCTTATTTGTAAAACATACATGTGTATGAAAATTTATACAAAAAAAGTTCTCAGTTACAACAATTCTTATTTTTAAAAGATATATACACAGTACAAAAATAAAATGTTAATTTTAACATTTTTCACATGTCCCAGAAAGTCCACTCTAAATTTTAAGTTAAAATAACTCATTTGTCGTATGTTACTTATTGACAAACTAAAAATGTTAAATAATTGACATAATACTTTATATTTATTTTTGTTATTGTGACTTTAGGCGTAAGAATAACATACAAATTAAAAATTACATGAAAAAATAGTTACAATAACTCGTAAGAATTGTTGTAGCACATTAACATATAATAGTAATTATTTTAACTTAAATTTGTAATAGAAACATTTGATTTTAGTAAATTTGATTACTTTATATGTCAAAGTTCAAGATTATTTGAAGATTTACTTTAACTTTTCTTAGAATGTTAAACTAATCTTTGAGACATGTTGATCGTTTAAAATAATTATGTTAAAAATACTCAAAATAATATTCCATTTCTAAGAGATATATACAAAGTGTTAAGTTATGAAGTAGACATAAATGTAACATATGAAAACGTTATAAAAATAATAACATAAGTTGTATATTAATTTTACATTAAAGTATTAATCAAAACGTGGCAACACAAGAAAATTTTAACACATGGATCCACAATTTTTTACTGTGTATGTATGCAAAAGAAAACAAAATATTACTTTTACAAAAAAAATTTTTTTAAAGAATATTGTCTCTATTTTGTAAGACTTGAAAGAAATTCAAAAGAGCCGCCTAATTTTTAAATTTCGAGTGAATTATATCAAGTGAATTATAGATTGTAATATTTTTAACTAAAAGTTGCATTTTTGTGTGCGTAGAAATTTAAAATAGTTCTAGAAAGAAAAGTTGAAGAAAACGTGACTTATTTCCCTATCTTTTCTCGTTATTCCTTCCGCTTGCCGAGAGAAACGGTAGAGTGACAGTGACCACTACATTGATACCTGGTCGACTGTGAAAAATATTCTGCAATGAATCGGCAACAAGATATCCTATGTTCATCGTGACGCATTGCAGTGAATCAAAGAAGCGAGACACATTCACCCTCAGACGAGTTCCATTCGCGTCATCGAGATACCGGGTGACGGTCGCGTTCTCAGCACACTACCTATCAACCATATTGATATAATGATTTTAGGTACACGTCAATCAGACTTGCGATAACGATTGTTAAGTGCGTCACGAGAGAATTGCTTGAAATTTACGCGGCGAAGATTGCAATATGCAATGGCAACGAAGCTATCTAATAAACAATAGGTATTTTTCTTAGCGCGAAAATCTCGCCAAAAGAAGAATTTTTCAGTTGTAGCTGATTAAAACGATAGAGAAGAACTTTTAATAAATTTCGAGCTCTACATAAATAAGTAAGACAACTTTACGATTTTAGCCTAATTTTAGGTGGACTTTAATGGGATTCTAATTTGCGGCATATTTATCGTGATACTAAATGTCAAAGCTTCATAAGTTGCGAGAAATTATGTCTCAAACGACAGCTCAATCAACTTAATTACTTTGCGTATATCATAAACATCTCGTTGTATTCTAGAATGTTGATTCAAAATGAAAGGCAAAAATAGCATAGATAAATCCATAAAACTATAATGAGAGGACAAGCTCTTTCATCGCATCGCAAATATGCACTGGTATCTTTATAGCCTGGAATTTACGTAATTCAGAGACACACACATGCACAACGCGATATAACATAGTTTAGCGCTAGAATAGTTTGCTGGAATACAGGATAGAGCAAAATAGATTTTATCGCACTCTCTTTTCTCTCTTTTTTTCCTTTTTTTTGAGGGGAAGGGATATCGAGAATTTTTCTCGAGATTACTCGCAACTCCTTCAAAGTTACTATATAATATACAAAATATATTTACGATTATTATTACGATTACGTTAGGAAGAATTAGATTTCCGTATTGTTCGCGTTTATCTCGCGGCAAAAATACCTTGATTCGCGCGAATCGCGTCATAAGATCGAAAATATTTATTGTTTACATTGACGCAAAGCACTCGATAAAAAGCGCGTCGAAATCTCGATGATTATCATCACGGATCTCTCGTACAAGTCGATTTCGAAACGAGAAATGAAGGAAAATTACCCGCCAAAGAAGAGATATAGATATACAAAGAGTCTCGAAAAATTACTGTTCTTTCTTAAGAATAGAATTTTAAGTTGCTGCTCCGATCTTAAGTTTTAATTTTCATTCAATATTTTGTTGAGATATTTATATGAAATTCGAGGAACGAGATATTAAAGATACTAAGCAAAGTGAATCTAAGCAGATCAATTGGACGAAGAAATTCATTCGAAAGGAGAGGCCGATAGTTTCATGTCCCGTTTATGCAATCGATAATATCCGCGAACAAAAATACTCGTCGAGGCGGCTTATAAACTTTTTCGGTTACATCGAGACATCGTCGGGTACAGTTTGCGAACAAATTTTAAATCTCTTATTATAGTTGAAAACATAATGAAACGTTTCTTCGTGAAAAAGTAGATATTATAAATAATCCATCTATAATAGGAATATAAATATGTCAGACCTTTTTGCAAAATGTCGACTTTTCTTTGTTGAACTTTGACAAAAATTCATTCAATCCTCGATAATGTGGATTCTTCATTTTTGCACATCGCCATGAGATGGATATTAATACATTATTGATTAGAAAAAGAGTTCCAATCGAGAAATAGCTTCTGAACGAAAAAATGGTGCTTATCGATGAGATTTTTTGCCAAACTGACAAGTTATCCAACGAGGAATATTAACGATATCCTCTGCACCTTAGTGCAAAAGCGACAGATAATAGATGTTGCAAAACTCCTTACGACGTGCGCATAATGCGAGGCTGTTGAAGACACTTGGCACAGGTTCATAAGCGATTTATATCAAACCTTTAAAATTTCAATCTGATATTAGTTGCAGATCCGAAGAATTTATGCATATCTACGCGTCAGTTTCTACTCGTAAAGTATAAAAGCGACGCTGAAAACAGAGAATGAAAGCTTCTTTCATTTTATCATTAACATTTCGTTGCATGAGCTGGAAAAGTTCACTCTCATCGCAATGAAACTAATTTAAAATATCAATAATATATAAAACTGTCATTTCACGTGCCCATGTCTTTTGTACACTGAGAAAAATTTGTTAACTTGACTAAATCGTTCAATTAAATTATTATTTTTTTTAGATTGAAATATTTAACCATTTAAATTAATTAATATATATCTAACTATTTAAATTAATTTATATTTATATAATTAATATATATTTAACTATTTAAAATAACTAATATATATCTAATTAAATCTAATATTTATTTAATAAATATTTAAATATTTTAATTAAAAAAATAATAAATTGGTTGAACGTCAAGTTGACAACTTTAGTCAAGTTGACAACTTTTTTTCTCAGTATTTTTGAAATCATCTACTTGCAATAATCGTCCGTAGCTCTCGGGACATTTTCGGTATTCAATTTCCGTTTTGTGTTCTAGGGAATTTAGAATTTGTACACATGAATTTCCGCTTTTGCATACCGTTCTTCTTTATATCTCGAGTGCCCAGAATTCTTGCGCTACTTCTCGAACGGGGAACATCCTCGATTTGCCGCGGGGGGGAGATGCGTGGGTTGCCGTGCGTATCTCGAGACGGTTGTTATGATTTACCTTCAGCGCGAAACAGCCGCTAAAAGTAGCGCGATCATCGGACATGTAGAGGAAGGAGAAGAGAAAGCTCCTCTCTCTCCTCCCCGCTATTAGAGTAGCATGCCGAAAGCGGGCTAACGAGGCTCGGACTTTATTAACTTGGCCCGGTATGCGCGAGATTCCGCTCGTCGACGCCCTCGCGATTCCACCGCGATATCTGGCGCGCGTTGTGTCAGCTCAAGGTCGCCGCATGGATCATTCAAGGCTACGCTTGGATCTTCCCCGTGATTCCGGTCTGTAATCCAATCGGACGCTCGATTTTCTCGAGCTTCCTCTCGAGTTAAGCTCCTTTGAAATAATCGGATGCGATTGAGGTGCTCACGTTCGAGATAGTCACGTGCGCGTCCACGTCTTGACCGTATAAGCTGACAGGTGTCATTGGTCTACATAAGTGTATCTATTTAAAAGTGCGGAATTTTTTCCTTTATTTGCATCGCACAATGTAAGATATACGTTTAATCTTATCATAAGTATTTTGTGATAAATAATTCGTAATTTCTCTAATTTTAATAACGTAAAAATTAAATCGAAAAAAAAAGAAAAACGATCTTATTTAAATAAATTTATTCTTACCATTTAATTATAATGCATAATTCAGTTATTTACTAATATATAATTCGCATGTCATAAATAATTACAATATAACTATATTTTAATATATATAATAAATATTATCTCGATAAATAATACTGATTTATATGCACTACATAATTAAACTTCTAGAAATCTATTTTTTCTCTTAATTTTATATCAAAGATTCTTACATTTGGAAATCATAATAATAACAATGAGATTGTTATAAAAAGAAAAAAAACTTTTAAAATTTAATAAATTGCATCATTTACGGCGATATTTTTATTTTAAGAGCCATGCATCTCTTTCTTTTTCTTTCTTCTCTTCTTGCTCCAACTCTACCTCTGCAAGCGTTAAAAATAAAGCGAATCGTTTCGCGCGCGCGACCGCCTCTAGATTTTCTCTCTGGAATAAGTAAAGAGAGACAGGGCAGGTTATTTCGTGAGATGATTTCTCATGGCAGCCTATGATCTTAGAAACGGGACAAATCGATAAGATACGGTATCAGCTTTGACGCACGTACTTATCGCTACGACAAATCGCACACACAACAATGCACGAGGACACAGAAAGACTGTCGCGATCCGTGTCTTTGATTAGATTCAACGACAAAGTCGAGGGGCTCTTGACGACGATTATTATCATTGACGCACATCGTAATCGACGATATCAAGTGGCCCTACGCGTGCTATGGTTCATGTGTAAATCGCTTATAACTGCCTGTCGTGTCAGAAATAAAGGATCTTCTTAGTTGTAGAAAGAGAGGAACGTCTGATGACAAACGAGCTACTAAAACGAGGGTTATTATCTTCCACCATTATTTCCAAGATAGCAAAAAAATTCGAAATAATTCATTTTTATTTTTTTCGCATTACTTATGTATAAGAAAGTATTTTATTGATTAATAAAGATTATCTTTCTTAATCTAAAGAAAAGAATAAATAATTCTCGATATTATGATAAAATAAAAACGAATTATTTCTCATTATAATTTAAAGCTATAAATCACATTTATCAAGCGAAATTTTAATACCGTTCGATAAAAATTCTGAAGTAATTTTTATTCCGTTATATTTAATAATATTATCATTTATTAATAATGTGGATAAATACATTATTTATGCGCTTCGAATCCTCAAATAAATTGTATTATTCGTGTGACAAAAATCAGTGTATCTCTTACAATTTAACCCAGATTTTCGATACGATTCAATATTCTCCTCAGCTGCAAGTTGTAAGATATTAACCCCGTCATCCCCAACAATTGTGCCATTGATCGGAAACAGTAGGATAAAAGAAATCGTCAATTCGTGGATGCCGCGCGTATTTTTCCGTGCGCTCGCTCTTCGAATTCCAAATGTCCCAGGAATCAGCAGCCGCGGGGTACGGCTACTAATAGCGGTGAAAAAATAAATATCCAGACACTGGTCGAGGAGATAATTTGCGGCGGGAAAAGAGAAGAAAGAAAACGTGACGGTTGATCGCGCGTGCGAAATTTCTTTTCGCATTCCTGTCGCGACAGAACAGAACTCCCTTGCTCATATTTCGCCATTTTGGGGTGTTTACGCTCGCTTGACACACACCGGCCTGGCTCTCCCGATCGAGATGGCTTCGAGGGAGATGTCGTCCCTGACTATCGTCTAGTGCGGAATACTAAGTGTTGACTAAAACCAATGATAGCTGACTAATCGACAGTCAAGAGACAGCGAGCAGGAGTGAAAGCGTTCAAATCGATCGTTTATTTCTTTGGTAAGTCAAAAGTTAATCATATTTCTCTTTATTGTACTAAAATTAAAAACACATATGAGAATAAATTTAAAAATTAAAAACACATATGAGAATAAATTTAAAAATAAAAGGATTATATATTGTGTGTAAATTTTTAAAAGAAATCAGACATATTTAAACATTTTGTTTATATATATCTGATTTCTGAATATTTTTGTGAAATGGAATATCTATACATAATAATGAACAAAATTATTTTTTCTTATTCCTAAAATATTTTTTGTGACACATATTTCTTTTGTAATGGCTGATTTATTTCAATACTTGAATAACTAGCGTAAATTTTAATAAGGCAAATAAACAGATAAATTGGTTTGAAACCGTGTATTCATTACTCTTTTCTATATTCTTAGTGATGTTGTATGGATGATATTTATCTTTAACAATTGATTAAAAAAAATAAGAGTGCTTCAACAATCATAATATCGGAATAATACCGGAAAAAAATATTAATTACAAATGTTAATAAATTTTTAAACTTTATGTATTTTAAGAAAATGCATAAAAATACCTTTTTACATTTTAAAGGCGAGAAAGTTAAATACACTGAAATTTTTATATAAAATGTTTTATATAAATTTCTTTATTAACCCCCCCCTAAATATTAAACAACACATTTATTTTAGTATTCGCAAAAAATGCCTTGTTTTAAAGATATTTAATGATACGAATACACAATAAAAAATTGTGCGTCCATATGTTAAAATTTTCTTGTTGTTTTGATTAGTACTTTAATGTAAAATTAATATACAACTTATATGTTATTATTTTTATAACGTTTTCATGTGTTACATTTATGTCAACTTCATAACTTACACTTTGTATATATCTGTTAGAAAAGGGAATATTATTTTGAGTATTTTTAACATAATCACTTTAAAAAATCAACATGTCTCAAAGATCAGTTTAACATTTTAAGAAAAATTAAAGTAAATCTTCAAATAATCTTGAACTTTGACATATAAAATAATCAAATTTACTAAAATCAAATGTTTCTATTACAAATTTAAGTTAAAATAATTACTATTATATGTTAATGTCCTACAACAATTCTTACGAATTATTGTAACTATTTTTTCATGTAATTTTTAATTAATTTGTATGTTATTACTACGCCTAAAGTCACAATAACAAAAATAAATATAAAGTATTATGTCAATTATTTAACATTCTTAGTTTGTCAATAAGTAACATATGACGAATGAGTTATTTTAACTTAAAATTTAGAGCGGACTTTTTGGGACATGTGAAAAATGTTATAATTAACATTTTATTTTTTGCTGTGTATATATATGAGATAACGAAATAATTATATCTCTCTAAATCTTAGTAAATACACATAATCCAGCTTGAGGATAGCTAGTGAAATCGACTATTAACCACCGGAATTTCACGGGAAGTCGCCTGCGACGGAACCACTGTATGCAATGCACCATGATGGCACATCCTTCACGATGTGACGAAATTAGCGAGCAGCCGAAATAATTTAGCGGATTCCAGGTTACCGTCTCGTATTGCTTCGTACCGCCTGTGACCCTGAATTTCATTATATGTATAGTTCAAGAGGAGGAAAAAAAGAGATGGCAAAGAGTGATCTACTATTTCAATGTATTTAATTAATGCACCTTTTTTTCTTCAAGTAAAAATTACAAAACTTTTAGGAAAATTTGAGTAATTTTTTTGCCTATATTAAGAGAATTAAAAAATGAATGATATAATTAAATTTCTGGAGGACATAAAAATCCACGCAATTTTTAGAAAATTATTTCGATGATTTTGAATAATTATAGATATTGTTCACATGCAATTAATTTAAGATTCTTACTATCATTCTCTACACACATAATTATGTTAATGAAATGTACATGTGGATTAAGCTACTCTTATCGAAGATGATATATCGGCGATTTCGTGCTTTTAAGATCTTGTCTCGGGTGTTATTGTGCGATTCGCGTGCATCTGACGATGCAAATCCGATTTGGCGCGCGCATAATCGAGTTCGTTGCTTTACACATGACGGTAGTTAATCAAGCCGTGCAAATAGGTAATCGATTTCGTAATCGAGTTCGTGTATTCGTCCCGCGTATCCGACGTTTACAGGAATTAGTCGTGAGATCGGTTCCGTGTAACCGTCTCCGTCGTGTCCGAGAAATTCGTTTTCTGATTGACTTCCCTAAATAAACGGATTACCTGGAAAATCGTGGGTACAATATTTATGAAGTAAGCTCATTATATAAAAAAAAATAAACGTTGCTAACAGGATACATTATTATAAAAATTATAGCTCCTTTAAAAGTTAAGTAAGAGCTAAAATCTAGATAAAATATTATATAAAGATACAATTATTATACATATATTTAATTAATGCATATGAAACTTTAAATTGGCACTTGCTACCGAGCAGCAAAAATTCTCCTAACGAAGAAAAAACTTGAAATGTTCTTTTCACAGATGAAAATATCGTTCTTTGATCCTTGCGCAAGCAACGTAAACCCTCCCCGGGAATTAGGCCAGTTTAAGGTGCTCTCACACGATTCGGTTAGTCGCTATCGATACTCTATCATTAGGACATTATGTTAGAATCGATGATCGTGGGAACATCTCTTTCCGTAACGGCTGTGATTAATATCAGGATACATTCACGCTGACAGCTCGCGAGCTTACCAACGTGTTTACGGTAACGTTGGCCGAGCGAGCTTAAGTATCGCGAATGATTTGTTACTACGTCATACGCAGTGGTGGCTGATGACCAGCAGCACGATTTGCCCATCATGTATCGTGACGGAATTAGCGGGCAACCGAAATAATTTATAGCTTCATGCGCGCCGTGCTCTATCTCATCTGTTCTCTCATCCCTCTCATTCTCCCTCTTCCTTCCCCCCCCCCTCTCTCTCTCTCTAAGCTCTCCTCTCTCTTTCTCTCGTCTCGTATTGACCCTGAAACCCACTATAGTTCATTCATTACGCCATCGTGTAATAGCACTCCCACGTAGCGTACGGAGTACTATAGAATTCAGACCATGTATCAGTCCTGAAACATTAAGAATAATGTATAAATATGTACGCCATGTATATCATTAAATTAGAATAACAGAAATTTTGAAATTTTTCCAAGCTAATTTTATGGAATATACTTGACAAAATCTTAACAATAAATCTTAAAAGTAATTAGTTATTAAAATAATATTATAACAAAATTTTCTTCAAATCTTTGCCCAGTTATAGCTGCAATAATATTTATAAGCGTTAGTTTAATATCATATTTTCGCGTTTTTTTCTTTCGATATTCTTTACATGTATTTTTTCGAAATTCCATGTTAATAGAATTTTAATATACTTTGTTATTTTCTAATTATAACATATATAGATGTCATGTACATTATACAGTTACTGATTCACATCGTTTACATGTGATTGATATTGAACTTTATTTATTTGAAGGTCAATCCCATTAACGTCAATTAATTTTAAAGGTCAACGTCAATTAATTTTAAAGGTCAATGTCAATTAATTTTATTGCAGCTTAATTTTTTTTAGATTTAGTATTATGATATAATATTAGACAGAAAAGAAATATTTAGGGGAAAAAAATTCTTCTCACATTTTCTGACTTTATATTCCCGTCTGTGTGTGTATGATTAAAGTTTATGTATTATAATATTTTTACCTTCTGCTTTTTTATACATCTTCTCTTTAAATAAATTTTAAAGAGAATCTTTTCTCGCGCTATGCGAGAATAAATAGAACAACTGGTGCCTAAGTGCGGAAGTAATCCGTTTAATCTCGAATTCTTCCAGACTCACACACATATGTTCATCCCGGGACATGTAAATCCGCTTACATTTGCAGAAGCGACATGTATGTTAAAATAAATAGCTGTGTGTGTACTGCACATTTCGAAGTGCGAGAAGTAGCGCAGATTGTTTTAATTATTCGCACGTTCCCGTGACTTCCATGGCATATTTTTCAACGATAAATCGCATTCTTCTCGCGTCGTGAAAGGTCCACAAACTTCATTTCAGCGAAGAAGCTCGTGTCATAAGTTCTGATCAAAATTTATCGCACCGAGGACGTCAAGGTGCGGATCTTAGGCGAGGAAATTCAACGAGGAAATTTCACGAGTAAATAAAATATATCACATTTAGTAATATAACTTTAGAATACTTTAAAGTACAATAAGAACAAAAATTTTTGTAAATTTTGTAACTAAAAATAATTGACTATCTTTTTGTGTTTATAATTGTTCTAATAAATAAATGTGTTAATGAGAATTTGCAGTGTATGTGATTTCCTGAAACAATTTTTATAAAAATTGCAATGTTTCAATTAGTAATTTCCTTCTTAAATTGATAGGATCATGGCAAAAATACAAAAGCTATCGAGCAAAACTCAGCATGATTTCAATTTTATTGAATGATTCTCGTCTCGAAAGTTATGTGCACTTCTATTTATTAACAACTCTGGCAATGACAGGCAATCTTTTTGTTTCCGCGTAAATTACGTGTTCTCGGACAGCAGCACAAACGTCAGCATGAATCATTTGTTGTTCGTATAAACTGTAAACGCATTGCTCCGCGAAATTCGACGAGTAATAGTCGTTTTTTATCAACGCACGGTCGAAATTTTTCCTCTTGTGAGATGTCGCCAAAAACTTTTCTCATCCAATCCCCATATGAGAAATAGCCCTTGTCCTCGCGCCAATTTAATTTCCCTTTATGCGATCATCACCCTTTCCTTCGCGGAGAATAATAGAAGTATAAACGAGCTTTGTCCTCATTTATATTTATCAGAGAAAAAATGAATAATAAAAAACCATTGGTTTATCATCGATTGTTTATTTTCACATTTGTAAATGAGTATCGACGCATCATACTACATGTATCTAATTTTGAAAAGGTATTTTATTCAAAACAATTTGCAAGCAATTTAATATCTGCAAAGCAGTTCGCAAGTAATTAAATATTTTATAATACATTTTATAATACATTTTATAATACATTTTATAATACATCTATTCATTGATACATTTTTTATTCATATAATTCGTAACATATTTTGGAAAAAATTCTATTTATTAATTCTATTGTTTTATATTTTATTTTGTAAGACAAAAATATTATTTGAAGGATGTTAAAATATACACATATGTTTATAAAAAATGCCCAAAATATCTATCAAATTACACACATTTATTAAAATAAAATGCGGAACATAAAATTATAAATAGATTTTGTTATTTTTATTTTGTTCTAGTTCTTAATCTAATTCCTGATATATCTATCTTAAAGACAAAATCATGACAAAATTCAAGATAAAAAATCCACTTATAACCCACTTATAATTTTATGTGCCGCATATTTTATATGTATATGTGTGTACTTTGATATGTATTTTGTGCATGTGAGCATATATATATATATATATATATATATATATATATATATATATTTTAGTTCAAATATATGTTTCCTATCTCGTAAGATAAAATAATAAACAGAATTTTTTTTCAAATTTCATTATGAATTATAATCTAAAATAAGTTTTATGTGCAAATTACATAAAAATAAAATAAAAAATATTTTTCTTTCTATTTCTGTTTATTTTTAAGATGTTATTAAAATAAAAGATTACGTTTCGCTATCGTGCACAATAAGGAATGACATGAAAATAATTTCGATCTTATATTCTTTTAGTAAATTAAATATTCTTTAGGACATATTATTCTTAAAGTTTTGAAAAGTTTAAGGAGACATAAGGCGATGACAGATGATAGCACGTACAATATTCCGGTCTCGTTGGCGGACATGCGGAATTATATATCGGAAATTGGAGCCCGATATTCAAACGAAGTATGTCAGGGTTTATTACGTGCGAGGCCGTCATGCAGTGCGACCATGTCACTCTCCCGATGCCTCGTTCGATTATAATTTATCGAGCATATAGAAAACGAGTTAATTCAAGTAGCTTCAAGCTGATCTATGCTGTATTTAGTCTAAATAATCATTACACAATAATGAGTTCCGCTCATTGTACAAAATCAGTCACAATAATAATCCAAAGCAATTTTATTGAAATAATATAAATATTTAATATTTAAAATAAAAATAAAAGAAAATATTTAATAATTAAAAAATTAGGAAAATATGATAAAAAAAGATAGTGCCAAAACAACAATTTATATTGCCTATTGTTATAGTAATTTTTATGCATAAACATCCCCAGATCTTGAAAGAAAAAATTACCTATTAGAATTTTAAGCAAAAAAAGAATTCGATGGCACGCGTCTCGTCCGATATTTTGGCTCAATGTGTGGCCAGCACGCGAGAAACATGTGGCCTGCATGTGGGATACAATGCGGACGAAAAAGATGTTAAGGATGTTTATAAAAAACAAACGGAGCGAGGGTAGCAATGATTTTTCTAGAAACCATACCGAGAGTTCCACACATTTCCCATTCATTGCAAGCAGAGCGATGATGCACGCTTTCCTACATTATCTTTAATCATGATAGATCATGATAAAGAACAGTTTCATCAATGTCGAGATTAATCTATATTTCTATCGGATGAGGACTTTTTCAACAAATGCTGTTATCAGCATCATTTCATTTAAAAAATACATTTATTTAAATTTCTTTTATTTATTTAGATTTTTTACATTTATTTAGATTCAATGCATTAAATTAGATGTATTTATTGTGTGTGTGATTTTTCCCAATCTGCTGCATAAATTATAATGTATATTTAAAAAAAAAATCGCTCTATACAGAATCGCTCTACAGAATTATATATTATATATATTATATATTAAATTATATATTATTTAGCTTTTATTTTTATTGTTTTATTACTATTAGTATAAAAATAAATTTTGATGTAGTTTTACGTATATTTCTTTACGTATATTTTTTTAATTTTAATTATTAATAATTTTAATTATTACTAATATATTTCTTTAATCTTAATTATTTACTAATATTTCTTTATGTATATTCCTTTAATTTTAATTATTACTAATATATTTCTTTAATTTTAATTATTACTAATATATTTCTTTAATCTTAATCATTTAATAATATTTTTTTACGTATATTTCTTTGATTTTAATTATTACTAATTTTAATTATTATTAATATATTTCTTTAATTTTAATTATTGATTAATATTTCTTTAATTTTACGCGAATTTAAGCAGAAAAAGGTCACATGTGAAAAGATTAATTAGTCGAAAATCGCCGGCATTTTACAGGTGAGTGTATGAGTTCGATAAAATTCGCAACCGGCTGCAACCCCTTCCATCCGGCGCCGAGAGGCTGCAGTCGATGTCGAAGCCGACGCGCTCGAGCATCGGAGGCCGCGTCGATCAGTCCGCGCGGGACGCTCGAGGAGCGAGGATCGCGTTCACGCCTCGTCTTGCTCTCGAATCTCTCGTCCGATAGTAAACGCGAGCGGGAGACAGGGAGACGGCGTCAGTTTTCGCGCTCAGTTCCGTAGAATCGAGAGGATCAAGAAGAGAGGAAAAACGGCGGCGATCATCGAGGAGAACTTTTTGCGGGACGACCGGGACTCCGGAAGTTTTGGAGCACAGATGGTGAGAGGTGAGAAAAGCGCGACGAAAGTACATTCCTCGCGTGTATTTTTATACATGTCACCCTAGGGGTGAAATATACAGGCACTTTTGCAAGCAATCGATCGGTCTCCGGAGAGGGACTCCCTTAAAGTTAGCCTTACCCACCCTTAATAGAGTCGGACAGATGTTGAGGATGATGATGATGACCCCAGGTTGGTCGCATTTCTCGACGCGCGGGTTAAGATCCGTTAATTCCGAAGTTTAATCTATCACGTTAATCAAATTCGAGCGAGATTAGTCGGTTAAATTAGTAGTCAAAAATAGGAAAATGTATTCCAAGTTGAAATGAAATGATGTTCGAATTGCGAGATAATTTTATACTTTCGACCGATGTCGAAATTAATATTCGTTAAACCCTTTAATTATTAATTCATTGAATCGGATTATATTCACATCTAACGAAGCGGGACAAACGAATCATCAATCATAAAATTAGACTGACGCGATAATAATATCCGCAATGATAATAAATTATATAATTAATATATTTTATATAAATTAGTTTTGTGAAAAAATTAATTACAACGAGAAAAATTAACTAAAAAGAACAATGTTTTCCTTTTTATATCTTTTCGAGCCGGTTCCATCTTCATAAAATGGAGATTAATTTATCATTGTGTTTTAATCAGTTTCGATAATTAGCTAAATCAATTAATAAACTATAAATGAACACACTGAATGATACAGAAATAATATTATTATACAAAAATAATTAGAATAAAAATATTAATTTGCTATGAAATACTATTAAAAAAAAATTATTTTTATAACACTTATAATACTTCGTAGTCTTTCTCTCTCTCATTTTTTTTTAAATTTAAACCTATTACTACTCTTACTACTAACTGCGGCTCGAAGAGATTGAAATGTTTTGTAACGAAGCGAAAACGTAATCGTCGCTATTCGATTAACTATGAGAAATGGTGTTCCCGAGAGAGTATTTTGGTCGTATCTCAAATGAAATTTAAAGCCCCGGCTCTGCGGCGATCGATTCCATTCAAATTTAAGTTCCACCTTAAATTTAATCTTTCGCACAGACTGACTTATTAGTTTCGTTTGACGTAAGGCGGCCGTGGAGCTGGAGCAAAATTTGCTCGACTGCTCAATTGGGCGTGATGAATAATTGATTTCGAGCTTAAGTCGGGGCGGGTGAATCGGAAATTTTCCTCCGACAGATATATTCTCATTCGCTATTTCCTGGAATATCCGAGCAGTCAAAACGCGGTAAAGAGATAAAAATGTCCTATTATAGGAAAATCTGCCGTTTACTCGATTATACGGAATAATAAACGACACGTTTTTTTTTAAACCGCGATTTTTCTGGAAAACAGTTCTCTCGATAGGTTCATCAATTATTTTAGAAATAAACCGTAATGTAATATTTTGTAATCCATTATTTAATAGATAATTATAATCAATCTTTTGTGTACTCGATTTTAGTATTCTTTTACGCGAATTTATATATTTCCTATTTTTTGATCAACTTTCAGATAATAATTTTGCCCAATAATTTGAGAATATGTAATTAATAGAATATTAATAGAATAATTAATAGAATAAATCGTGTGTATGTATGTTACACCTCTTGTATTCTCTCATTGGAAATTGAGAAATAATAATTAGATATTCAGTACGAAAAAATGTCTGACCGCAACCGTCAATCTCTACTTAAATTACATATCTATTTATTTCTTTCTATTTACTGTATTATAGAGAATGAAATGTATAAGATAGACATTAATAAATACAAATAAATCTAAAAATGAATATATCATTTTTATATAAATGTCTTTAAAAAAAAGAAAAAGAAAAGAGAGAGAGAAAAAGAATTTAATTAGATTAAGTATAATCTTATTATCCCTTTTTCCACTTTATCAATTAATTTTCATCAATTCTTTATATAATTCCATATGATAAATTTTATAGGATAATTTCTCTCTCTCTCTCTCTCATTCTTTCTAGTTTTTCTCTCTCTTTGTCTCTCTAGAGTTTATCAGTCTCTTCTTCGGTTTTTTCGGTTTCATCAGTTTTTAAAAAGTCAGGTCCCAAAATAATAATAAATTAATTTTTTTTCTTTCGCTTTTATTTCATACCTTTCTCTTTCTCTTTCTTTCTTTCTCTTTCTTTCTCTCTATCTATCTTATTCTCTTCCTTAGGTACACCTGTTCACCTATATACGCAAATTACACTTTCCGCGTGCCGGACGAGAGTGTCAGTCGCGAAATGAGCCTGTCGGTCTTCTCGCAATTCATCCGGCATGAACGACGTTTAAATTTACATTGGCGTCGCCGAAAGGCCGAGAAATCAGCCGGCTGTCATACTGCGCTTAAATTTAAATTTCCCTCGAATTTTGAGTGATGCGATTGGATCAAATTGCTCCACTCAGTCGCAACATAATATATATTTATCCCCATTAACAATTTCGGACAGATATGTTGCAACTGGACCTAAGAGCCCTAAACGATCATATGATAACGTAATCGGCTGATGTTTCGCTTATTTTATGTTCACACTTTTCTTCGCAGTCTTACTTACAATTAACATATATATAGTAAAGCTAATTAACATTAAAATTTCCAAAATATCTCGCGTCGTAATTAATGATTCAATCATTAATTGTTTTTTCTTTGTAATTCTTATTTAATTCTACCAAACTTGCTTGTCTGTGAGATGTAGAATCAGATTAAAGAATTCATTTTTTGCCATTTAAATTAATTGATTTTATCAATATACTTAAAAAAATATTTGTCTTCATTTCTCACGCTCTGATTTATTTCTTTGTTTGTTACATAACAATATGTAAATTTTTTCGATTAACAATGTCAAGTTATAGAAGACAATATTCAATATTATACAAAATATGCAAAAAATAATATATAAAATATTGATATATAAAAATTCGGTTTATTGATATGAAAAGAGAAAAAAATGGAAATCAATATGACTATTATATGACTATTATTTGATACAATTAAATGTATTAAGAGAAATTATAGCCTGAGAGAGTAATATTTTTCGAATTAAATTTATCAGTATATCTTATACGCAATATATTTAGATACATTCAACAATAAAACATAATTAGATCGGTTGTGCACTTCTCGTGACCGAAAGATTTAAATTTTTTCTTTCTCGACGTGTGCCAATTCTATGTGGCAATGCAAATTTGTTGTGCAAGATCTTGAGTGTATATTGGCAGTCGCGGTTAAAACAATAGTAGAAGGCTATTCAATTGAGTCAGAAGAGTCATTATTACCGAACGATAGCTTGTTGTCATCACATTACTGTCAGCGAATTCGTTCGTTTCATTGTTTCTTTGACACGTTGTATATAATGCCGAAAATACATATAGAAGTAATTTCATTAGAAATAAAAAAACTGTTACTCTATCTATTCCACTTTATTTTCAATTCTTACAAAGTAATAATAGAAATTAGAAATAATACCAAAAATTAAAATAATAAATATATTTTAGCTATAGAAATATGTATATATATATATATATATATATATATATATATATATATTATTAATAACATTAATTACATTCCGCATTTAAAATATGTTAACTATAACTTGGATAATTAAACTAATATAATTAAACTTAAATAATTACCTAATTTAAATATTTCTACTTAATCTTTTGTGTAACTTTTGGCATATGATATACGCATAATATTTTCATAACAATATATTTTCACTTATATATAGAGAGAGAGATCATTCTCATTAATTTTGAAATATTTCTTATAATATGTCTTTCTAATAAAATATTTTTTTATTTTGTCTTTCTGATATCTTTTATGTATATTTAATGCAATAACATTGCATTAAGATAATGAAAAAATTTGCATGTCTAATTTAAAATAATATAAATTGAAAACTAAATATCACAGTTTGTACAGTGCACAAATGTAGATTCATTTTGTATAAATAGTGTGCAAAAATTTAAGAATCTCTAGAAATAATATAATTATCAAATTTAAAAAATTATTGAATTTAGAAAAAAATTATCGAAAAGGAGAGTTTATCGATCGAAATTGGTATTGTATTTGATTTCGGATTATATCGGAACATTATAAAGGCCATCGCATATTACGTTTAATTAAGCATTGCACTAATGAAGCAACATAAGCAATTGTCTACGAGATCAAGGTTTCAATCAGAAACGCCTAATTAGAGATGCACGTTAAATTAACATATATATAGAGAGCCTGATTCAATAATCACGTTCTATATCTCAATTTTATTATACTCTGAAATGTGCACTCAATTGTGCTATGATAACAATTATTATTTAATAGCATTTATTTTCCATTCTCACATTTATATCTACGTAGCATATATATCATAAATATTTTTATTCATTAATTGAGTATTCAAATATTTTTATTAATAATTATATAATTAATAATCATACAATTTAATACGCAATAATTTTTAATTTAATTTATTCTAATTTATTTATTTGTTAATTTATTCATTAATTTTGTTCATATATTTGTTTCATATTTTTATTTCATTTATTCTTAGAGTTATATAACATTCTTTTTCTTCACATTATTTTGCATTTTTAGTCTACAATTTCAAATATTAATTTACATTTCTGATTGCTGATTAACTCGACATCGCAAGAAAAGCGCGTGTGTTGTACGAGGATTATTCATGACAATTCATGCGAGCTCTGATGTATCTGTATGACACGTAATACAGAAATCGATACTAATTATAGTATTTGTATGCACATTATATGGTTCGCGTAATGCTGCACGTAGGTCGTGCTAGATGTTTCATAAGACTCGCAATGAATGTAGTATTTCTCGACAGATTTCAAACCAACTTGTCGTCAAAATTAAAATCCAAATAAAATTATATGCAACAAAGGGAGATTGTCCTTGCTTGCAATTACCGTAGAAGGACTTCGCTGCAGACAAGATTTAATTTTCGACTCTCTTAATTACCGAGATGCTTATGATTATGAATAAAAATTAAAAAGTTAATACAAGGATAAAGAGGATTCCGCACAAATTATCTCGTGTTGCATCAATTTTGAAATTTAGTGAAAAAGTTGCTATTAGAAGAATTAAAGCACAATTTGCAGAACAATCTGTATGACCTTTCATATTGTACCGAGATGCTGTGCCATATAATCCGACGACCGCACTCCGTTGTAATTAATGCATATGATTGCCATCTAACAATTGGAAAGGTCAAAACTCTCCCTTTCTCCTTATTCCCTTGAAGGTTTTATTGCTGCTTAATATTAAAAATTTCCAAATCAATATATACATATCATTTTCAAACAAATTGATGTTGGTTTGAAATTTAAATCACACGTAACGTATAAATAATAAAGACTTCTCGACAAGAAAAATGACTTAACATTAGTCAAAAGTTTATAAATTAACAATATTTATAAAAGCTATTGCGAAGCATATACATATAGAATATAATTTATGAGAATAAAATTCGAAAATAAAAGTATATAAAAACATATTTACAAAATAAATAAAAAAAAATCTATAATTAATATTATATCATATATTTTTTACACACATATACATACATCTTCCATATTTTTCCTCGTATGCAAATTTCCCATTTATTTCGATCAAAGATTAAAGATTGATATATTATTCAGATAAGATCAACTATCCCTCTCAAATTTTTACTCGCTGTCTTATTTCCTCGAAGTCGACAAACTGATTTAAATGAAGAAACATTCGAAGGATGAAAAGAATGACCAGGACGAGAACAGCTTCTTCTCGAGGAAACGCTGTCGTGAATGGCTCGATATTACGTCCGACCGATCGATCTTCATTAAATAGGGAGAAAGAGAGGGTCTGCAATTTGCATAGAAAAATCGAGCGCGTGCGGAACGCGTCCCATAAAAGATGAAAGAAGACGACGGTATGTCAGTGTCAGTCGACGGATGCACGCTACCGGCGTGGAGAAAATCGATCTATCACGATCGAGACGTCACTCCCGACATTCGAGCAAGACGATCAACAATTTATAAATTGATCGACTGCTCGCTTGCTTTGCCGGATACAGAACTTTCAAATCCGCAAATCCGAACATTTCTAAGTCTCGATAGTAAAATATTGTATATTGGATTATGTTGTCCATTTACTGTCCCAAAAAGACTGTCTATCTATTTAATAACATTCTCGATATCGATCTTCCGCGAGAGAGAGAGAGAGAGAGAGAAAAGGAGAGAGAGAGAAATTAATAAGAACTAATTTTAAATTATTATATCAAGTTTTATAGAATGTTAAAGTGAAGAAGTTCATGAAAAGTAATTATACGATATATTGAGAAAGTAACGTTTTTTCCCTTTCTACTTTGAAGAATTGAAGTGTTTTTATTTCTAAATCGAATTTCTTAATTTTAGAAAAACTGAAGATTAAGTTCGTGTTACAAGAGAAACGGTAGAGGAAAGTTAAACACTTTATACAATCTTTGATCTTTTTTTAACGCAGATTGGAAGTAAATTCTTCAATTTCGTGTAATATTTGTCCCCAAAAACGTTTGCTCTCGATATAATTATTTTCGCGCGATTACATAATAAGTAATAATTTTATCTGAGACACAATTTTAGAATAAAACATCGTTGACATTTCAATAGGATCATTTATCATTGGACACGAGCAATTACGTTCAGAATTTATAGTCTTCGGACGAAACGTGCCTTCGCAGACACACGCTTATTGTCTCCTGAATAAATGGGATACATCTCGTGCACTTTCTCAGAGACACGTGACATCACCGATGAAGTATAGTTATGTCCTCCCATAGGAGAAGAAGGGCATCACTGTCCGAGCACGAATTGCGACAAACGTTCTCTCCAAGCGAATTACCGAGAGGATTTCGCGCGTCGTTAAGCCTTAAATACTGACATATTATCCGCGGTTGGAAATGTATAATGTTATCTCTGGGTTAACAAATGCGCGCAGTGTCATAATTAGAACACAGGGATATGTATATTCTTTGCAGTTTCGTTTAAATTTAATTCAGACATTTTAACGAGCATATTTCCTGATAAAACGCTGGAAAATTTGAAAAATATGTAAACAAAAAGCCACAAATGGTTTATTAAAAAATTAAATATTATTCATTTGATTCAATTGAAATCTTTTGTTTTAAAATACTGCTTAATACCTTGTTGGCTGTTAATTATGACTTATTATTATTTATCTCTCTCTTTTCTCTTATATTTTTTTTATCATATAAAATTGCTTTTTCTTTATAATATAAAATTGCAAGTTTTTAAATATATTATTAATTAAAATTACTATGATTATTATAATTAAAAGATGGATTTGTTTCTCATTTGAAAATAATGGACGCATCGTTTTCTTTCCCAAGGGACGTTTCGTTTCACATGAGAAAACTCGCGGAAGATAAAGAGCGTCGTCCTCGTTCACGTTAAAGCAATTTGAACGTAAGAAAAGTCATTTTGTTTAAGGAAACAGACGAGGACGAATGTAACGACAACGTAACGGCGCCTCGATATGCAAGGAAAAATTGTAGAATTTTTCCTCGAGAATGATTATATGAAGACTAACATCCTCTTCTGTTCATTGCAGGATCGTTACCTGATATCGCAGTGACGATGGCATCGGGCAGAGAAATCCACGGTGCTTTCAGGTAAGATAAACTTTAAAAAACTTAAAATTATGTGACTAAATTTCAGTATTAAATTTATGTATTAAAATTTCAGTTCAAAGAATAATTAACTTATTTTTCTAATTTTTTAAATCAGGGGGATCATTAATTCTATTCTATTCTACATAAATAAAATGCTACTTAATCATCTGCAATAAAATATTATTTTGTTTATATATAATTTTAATTCCGAGTATTATAAAATGTAATATATTTTTCATTAATTATATGCAATGTGTTTTGATCAATTTTTTGCGTTGTTAATTCATCTCTTTTCAAGTTTTCATTTTTCTTACTTTATGCATGCAAAATTTACGCATCTTGCGCGAGTGCACTCGAAAAAAAACGGGTACAACATACACGCATCACTGATTTCACCGAAGAGAAGTCGACAGGTTATTTCAAGGATTTTCGTGGGTGTATATTTCTCGACACGTGACCTTTAGAAATTCATTATTACGTGAAGTGCAGGAATGAGAAATTAGTTAGCCATCTGTTACATTAATCTACAGATCACGAACATAATATAGTTTCCTAATAACGGATTTTTCGGAAATATAGAGAGTTAGAGGATTAAGATTTAAAGTTAAATTTTAACGGAAATTCTTTTTCACGTATTCAAATGATATGATGTGGCAAGGACGATTCGAATTTCTTATTTCGTGATTTCCTAAAAAAGATATCACTTAGCAATAATTCATTTTTTTGGACCGATCAAAAATATGATCCAAAAAATGAATTATTGCTAATTTAAATATTGTCAAAAAAGAGACATTTAATATCATATACATATATCTTTGTCAAAGTAATCTTTAAAAATAATCTTTATTCCTATTTTTAAATATAGTTTAAACAAAAAAAATCATAAATTAATTATAAATGTATTCTGTCTCCTTTAATTTGTCTTCAAAAATATAAAAAAAAGAAATCATCTAATTTCTTCAAAGATTCGCGTATTTTTCATCTTTATAAATTGTCGTGAGGGGCGTAGGTGTACATGAATAAGATAATAGGATACTTTGACAGTATATCGATACGAGTTTCTGTCACATGAATAAAAATGCTTAAGTATAATAGAGTATTATTATTTTTAGTCAGTAAATCAATATTTTATGATACAAATCGATAATCTTTTATTGATGAAACTAATATTACTTCAGAATATTGACATTGTATATTAAAGTCGATTAAAAAAAGATATTTCTGCGATCATAAATTAACAACAAGCAATGCATATCCTATTCCTTACAAAATTCTTTAATATTTTATTTCGAATAATTGATTCCATTTCAAGTAATTTTATAAGAAATATTTTAACATGTTTTTATTAATTAAAGACATCTTGTATCTTTATGCACAAATAACGTATTCATCACGACTTTAAAGCACATTTCGCCTTAATCAACGTATTTTCGCCGGGCATTTGACGCCAAATATAATTGTTCGATTCTTGTCTACATTCTGGATGTGATATTCCGCAAATAAACCTCGGCATTAGAACATGTCGCAAAATTCGTGATGAGAATAGCGGGCACGGATTTAGAAGTGCAAGTATCGATCGTGTCTTCTCGTGAAGCGACAGCGACAGCGGCAACTTGAGAATCAGGCAGTTTTGAGCCATTTCGCGCTAGCATACGACTGTTTGATAGTGAATGGAAAAAAAATGCCTTGGCAGTCAGTGCTGGCCGTGCGCGATCTTATTCTTAGCGACGTTGCTTTATTTTTATTGCGCTTATGGAGCGCGGCATCGATCGATCTCGCGAGTTGACGTCGACGTCGTTCGATTTGATAGTCGCTCATAAGTAATGCAACGAGAAAGTAGTAGTATCGCGTCATAGACAGACGGCTGAATGAAGAAAAAAACGCGAAAGCATCAAGCCTATCTTTAGCCGCTACAAACTTATATTGCTCCACGTGTGATGTTTTAACCCTCTGCGGTTTACTTGGCGATTCAAAGTTTGCACATAAATAATACGAGCAGTAAACAATAAAAGTAACTCCAGTGTTTGCAATTTTGTTTTGAAGAGCATATTTCTTGTTGTTAAAAAAATATGTAATATAAAAACGATTATTGATATTTCTTCTCTCACTCTCTTAGCTCTTCTTAACTCTTATATTAATCTGCAAAAAAATAAAGTGATATTTTTGGATTAAATAAATGAGAAATTTACCATGTAAAATAATAACTATGTGCAAAAGATATGTGTTTGCTGTAAACAAATAAAAAAATCTCAATCAAAACGCTTAACACAAAATCAGGATATGTCACCGGATCCGGGGAGAAGATATTTCCGGTCGTAAATTAAATAACCAGTATCTGGCAGAGGGGGAAACATTTTTGGCGTACGTAATAGCGCTTTTAAGCTCCCTCGTGAATCCGGCAATCGATATACTCCGGTGACCCTCTCACCCAAGTTCGATCGACCGGAGATTGGAAAGTTCCGCACTAAATTTTGTCTGAAATGCACTCGGTTTCGCTTTTCCCGATTGGATATCGCCAATCGTCCATTCACGGGCGATCCTCGCTAAGCTGCTGAATCATTGACGTCACGTTTAAGATACCGTTAGAAAGTTACGATACAGAGAGATAGAGAGAGAGAGAGAGAGAGAGAGGGGGGGGTAGGAGTGAAAAGGGGGAAGGAAGAGGAGGAGTTCTAAGGACGCCAGAAGAGACGCATATCGCATCGAACGGTACTATTCGTTAAACAATGCGAGGCTATTATCGAGTCTATCGCAAAAAATAAATTGGATCGCGTTCTCGTATCGTCTGGATCGCATTTTCGCGTCTTCTCGAGCGCAATCAAACGCCATTCACGCATCTCCTCTCTCCCCTATTCGGCGTAATCTCTCGAATAATATCCGAGCCATTTATCTTAAAAGCAATGTGAGAAAAGTTTACAACGCGATTATACGATTCTCAATTGATATTGTCTTTGATTTAGGCAAATAAGAACTTGATATTAAAATTTCGCGAGCAACTTCTTCAAAAATTTCGAAAGATGGAGTATACTTTTAGCAAGTCGATGCTCGTCAAGATGCTCAGCAAGATTTAAAGAGAAGGATTCTGGAGTATTTTTTTTCTTTTTTTGAAAGTACGCTTTTAAATAATCCCACTCGTACGCACGTCACATGTGTACGTGTGTAGTTTGCAATTTCCGAAAAATCAATACTTTTCCGCGGCAACACGCGGTTCCCGGTGACGTAATGTCTGACGCAAGCGACAATCGTTGCGGCCGCGATGCCGCAGAGAGGCAAACGTCGATAGTACACCGGACGTCATGAATGCCTCCAACTTCCTTAGATCAGCATTTTTCGAATAAATGATTTACGCCTCAACATGGCACATTTCATGATAATTACATATATATCATCTTTTTTTTTTTGAGTCACTCTTGTAATGAATAATAATTTATCCTGAAAAATCGTTGCTAATTTTCCAATATGTCATATCATTCGACGTGCTTTGACGTGCAAATTATATAAATAACACTTTTATAAAACCTTTATAAATATAGTTTGCATGTTATGGAGCTTGCAGAATAAAATTTATCGGAATAAAATTTATTTTTAAAAATGACCATTTGATTGCACAAATATTTTCAGCTACGATGTATAAAAAGATGTAATAAAAAAAGATACCTGAAAAACATTAAATGGATCGTTAACAAAAATTACTTCGTGAATATCCACATTCTCCTCTCGCCATTTTAAGCTAATGTTGCGATAAAAAAATCCGATATATGATTTTATGAGTTTTATATATATATATATATATATATATATATATATATATATATATATACGGTGACCCGCGAGAAAGAAGTCGCATTCCACTCGCATGGGAAATTTTGCGAAATCTCGTGCCACCGGCCGCCACGGCTGTCGTCGATTAATCTCTCTGTTTCGATCGTCGCCCTCTGCCCTTTCGCCTTTCGTTCCTTCGACCCCGTTCCGCCATCGCTGCGGCAACGTGCCATGAAAATGGCTTGTGATTACCGCGGTGGCAGGCATTCGCGCTGACGAGGCGAATATTCCGTCTTCCGTTCGCGCTATCCTTAACCCGCGCGAAATTGATTTCGCCACTTCGTCTCTCGGGTGAATACCCGGCGTTGTACGAAAGTAGGTAACCGTCAGAAAGATCATACACACATACACAATGTTCGTACTTCCCTATTTATCTCGGAGAACGCGATACGATTTTTGTATCTTGCTGGACAAGTATTTCGCGTGAAAGCAAATTAATCTCATTCTACTCGACTATCGCGATATTCCTGTGGAATCTGATGTGGAATTTAAATCTCAATCATGCATGTTGAGTTCTTATTAAGAAAAATACCGTTGACACTTAACAGCCAGCAATCAAGATAGAATAATTATTCACCGATTTCTACTTCAAAAAATCGTGTATAAATCAAATTTTCCTAAAAAATCTCCAAAACATATCTCCAAGAAAGTCCTCAAGACACTCCTTTGCATGAATTAAATATTTCACCTCTTGTCAAAGTCGATTCAATCTTCATCAAGGATTTCGACTTATAGATAATCATCGTCGACAAAATTTCGAAATATAATCGATCAAGAGGGTTGCGTCGATGAAGTTGAAGATCTCGTCAGCTCTTTAGGGTTTTCTTTTTGCGCGCGATAACGCATTCATCTTTTTTTCGTCGGTGATATCAGCAGTCCAGCGAAAGAAACTCGTAAATTCGAGCGTAAACAATGCCCTAAAATGCGAGACGTGTTGGAGAGGGATAATTCTAGATTCGATTGTGCAGCGATTCAACCTTATGTGTATATAAAGTATATATATATATATATATATATATATATATATATATATATATAAAGCGAGGATGTGTGCAACGAGATACCAAGCCTGTACCAAACGAGACTCGGAATACATGGCCGGCTTTCGGATCGATACCTGCCGCCAACATTTTCGCGAGTATGAACTTCGCGAAGGACGCGACATGGCAAAAGAAATCATCCTATTCTCGGCTGACATCTCACCGTTGCAAGAAACGCGACGACAATGAAATCCTTGCTGCAATTTTTTCCCTATTCATCGACCATGCAATGATGTCAAGAGCGGACAAATCTCGAAAAAATGCAGCCGAATCATTTTTCCGATATACAATATATACGTATATATATATATGTATATATATGTTCGCGCAAATAATTCTCCTTCCACGAATTTCATGCCTTTTATTGATGAAAGCGCGATAGAAAATTCTCTCGATCCAACATATAAATTTAAAATCGCGCATGTAAAGTAAAATATTTTTTTTGAAATTATTTATATGCGCATATTATATATATATATATATATATATATATATATATATATATATATTATTGTGTATTGTGCATAATGTTATTGCGTCCGATAACAATCAGTATTATCATCAAGTACGGGTTACCGTCGAGATATACACGCGGAGGTTGGATTTTCCTCTGACGTCGATAACAGATACGGATTTACGCGCGTGTTTCAGCCTCCCGCGCGAAAACAATGAGTCCTCGAGATATGTTATACGCCTACGAAAAAAAAAATAATAATAATAAAACAAACACGGAAATAGATTAGACACTATTGAACCAATGTCATTTCTATAATAACACAAAAACGAGAGACAAAAAGGAAATAATGCAAATTCGACAAAAAATAATCAGCGATTGTCCCAGTTTCTAGATATTGTATCGACATGTGTATACATCAAAGAAATGACAGTGTCATTCGCGTAAATTTATACAATAATTATTATTTCATTTTTTATCAACATTTTTATTAATATCTTTCTGATTTTCCTCATTTTTCTTGCATTTCAATTATCTTGCCTGATAAGATTGCTCAAGTATCACATCGCGCTCTCTTTTCAGTCTCATCGTGGACGACGTGGATTCGCACTCGATCCTGAGCGATGGCTCCGACCTGGACGGACTGTCGCGCGAGAGCAGTTCGCAAAACTCGGCGTCGCAGACGCCGCTGGATAGTCCTGGCGGGCCACGCGAGAGGATCAAGCAGATCCAGGTTGAGGCCGAGACCAGACGGGGCGAGTTCGCCAGGTTGCTGGAGGAGCACGCGCAGGTGGTGCGCAAGCTGAAGATGATGGAGGCGGAGGAGCAGTTGTCGGCAACGACGACGACGACGACGACCGGAAATGCGACGGTGATCGGCGGCGCGAACGCGTGATTTTACGGTTTTTTTACCACCGTTAGGACGAGGGTGCCATCGAGGGTTGGGACCATCGCGTCGATCACTATACGACGACCACCACCGCCACCACCACTACCACTACCACCTCACCACGTTTCCTCCTCGGCCGCGAAGCATCACAATCCGGATAAGCCGTCATCCATCGCGATTCGCAAGCAAGATGACGCGAATATCGTGTTGGACGTCTGGCTTCTTAACCCTCGGAAGCATCTCCGGGAAATGTAAAAGAGATACAAGAGGCAAGCCGAAAAATAATGGATGCATCCGAGAGTTAACTATGAGGGAAAAAAAGGGCAAGAAAGAGAGGGGTATGAATTCGGGAGGACTTCTCTTGCTGTTTTCATTTTTCCATTATGTAATTTTGTCTCGTCGACTTTCGCTTCGGGCTAATTCGATCATGTTTGATTTGAAAATTAAAATTCGAATATGGTAAATAAATTCTAAATAATATAAAAGGGATCTAAAAGTTTTTTTATAATTTTATGACAGATTATAGCAATAAGAAACAATTATTATTTTTTGTATATTTTATATTTAATAAACTTTAATATATTTAATAAAAAATTCAAATAAATTGAATTTAAATAATTAATAAATAAAGTTACTGCGAAATGTATAATATATATATAAAGATGCATTTATGATTGCAATGTGTTATTGTATTGTAACTTCTCTTTTACATACGATTAAAATATTTATACTATTCGAAATCTGAGATACGTCATCGCGAATTTGCGCAGAAAATTTCACGAACTAGCAGTGTAATTCCGAAAGCAAAGCCTTTCTATATTTCATCCGATTTTGCGAGATCGAGTCTTTTGAAACGAGCCCGATCTAAGGGATCAGAAATGATAGAAATCTTCTGCGACGGGGATCGTCTTTGTGGTCCTTGTTTAACCCTTGTTTGCAACAAAGTCTGAATAAAAACCATTAGACACGACAATAATGAGGAACACTTTTAAAAAAAAAGGAACGTGCGTGCGAAAGCCGCGTGATCGCGTTATTTGTTTACACGTAACGCGTGGAACAAGAAACTCCCGCCCGTTCGAACTAGCTCAGCAGCAACGGCTGGCCTAATAAGCGTAGTACAAATTTTGCAGTGAAGTCTTAATAGAAAAAAAAAGAGAAAAATACCAGGTGCGAGTGGACCGAGAGAATTATTTCCGATGTAATCCCAGAGATTTGACGCACGATGACGATGTTGACATCGTGCCGTCATTTGCGGCGGAAGCGCGGATGTTGAGCAAACATATGGTGTCGTACACATACGAACGCACGTAGCCTACTCTCGAGACAATGGGATGTACAAGCTTCTACGCGCGTTTTATAGTATCGTAGAATTGAGTGTTCCATATTAAGTGTAAGCTAGTTTTGTATATCGTAAATATATCTAGATATATACATACATATGTGTACGATAAAGGGCGCGGGCTGCCGAGTCTGACGATGGACACACTCTTTTGTAAATAGATTTCTTTCCATTATATATATATATATATATCACAAGATCGATCGATCTATCCTCACCGATTAATCTCGATTAACAATCTTTCGTCTCCTTCTATGTCGAAACTTTAGCTGTTATTACGAATATAGGATTAGATTGTGTAAATTTCTTTATCAGATAATAATAATTTTTGAATTTGCCACTCTATTGTACTGTTGAAAATGAATGAAAAATATTCATTAAAAATGTCAAATTTATCAAAAAGTTTTATACAAGGAATTTTATTTTATCATGCGTGATTAAATACTAATTATAATTTTATGATAATTTTTCTCTTGTATATATATTATATAATTAAAATAAAATTTCTTACCTAAAAAGGAATAATGAAAGTTGAGTCAAGATTATCTAGTTTATTATCAGTATAGATCCAGATACTTCGCGAGCAAAATCGCTAAAACCAAAGGGAAAGATGCGCCGGAAAGCGATATTATTTAATTTCGTCATTTCATTCTTAATATTAGGGATATATTTATATAAAATATAAGCTGAACAGGCTTAAGGATACTCTACTAATTTTCTACGTGTGCTAAGTCAGACCGGCATCCAAAAATAACATAGATATTATATACTTATATTAGGCATTTATAGACTTATAATATATTATATACATAAAGAGAGAAACACAAGTATATAGACCTGTGTTAAATTCAATAATCCTAGTGTAGAGATGTCTATTGTTGCACAGTGACGTCAGTCTACGTCAATCAGGACATTTTTCTGCTTACATTAATTGCTAAAATGTCATATGATGAATCTTTCCTACGATATCTGAATGTGATATATTAATCATTCCTTCGTATATCAATTGAGATGATAATCACTCACCATCTCAATATAAATGATACAGAGATGTAGCAAAAAAGTGATGAGTCAATTCTTATGAAACTTTAGATTCCCAAAATGTATTTAAAAAAAAGAAAAAAATAGAATAAAACATCATACTCATTTTTTATAAAAGCAATTATAAATAATATATGTAAATCATTTATTCCTCCTTGACTTTATAAATAGGTATATATGCGTAATAAAGAAATATCAGAAAGGAAAATATATTTTGATCGCTGCATCGTCGGCTGGCTCACTGTGCAAATTAAGAAGACAGTCCTAGAATACGTAATAAGGAATAGACAGGAATGATTTTAGCTGCTCAGAAACGTAAAATGCTTTAAAGGAAATTTCGCGAAAAAGAGTGATACTGCGCAAGGCAATAATTTCTTCAACATATTCGGGAAGACTGCAAAGTAACACTGGGTACGAATGTAAAACGAGAAAATTTGCGTTATTTTTGCTGCAATGAAATATCCTATATACGATCGTTACTATTACGTTAAGAATGCAGATACTATACATATATATTGTCACCATGTAGTTTTTATTCATATTATTATTCGTACGACATGTATTGCATGTTAGAAGCGGCTATATGATATACGTATTTACCAGATTTATAATAAAATGTTGAGAAAATGTGATTTTAATTTCGCGCGAGCAAAATAAATTGCGAGTAAAAACCGTGGCTTAATAGCGACGTTTTTCTCAGTTCTGCTTTCTATCGCTGCAATAAAAAAAAGGCTGCTTTTGGCGACCCAATAAAATGCAATGTAATATTATATCACGCCGAGTTAATGTTAACGTAATTGAGATTTATATGTAAATTTTGGATGTATTATCGTAATATGTGAGAGATACACGCGCGACAACACGCTGTTGAGTTTTATTAAGGGAAATCGCTGCTTGACTAATTATTTATAGGCTCATGTTGTGTGTATGCGAAATAATAATGTATGTAAAAAAAAACGATGGTTGCTACTGGAAAAATATATATATTTTATTGAGTTGACAATGCATATATATTTTATATTCTTTTTCACAGCAACTGCTTTTTTCGATTTTTTTCTCGAGCGCGTAAAGCTTTGCCACTGATGTGTTACAAGCCATGTGACACCATTTTAAGAATATATTTGATATATTGTTTTATCGACTACAATAGCAATATGTACGAACAAATACGTTATATGGTAAGTTTCATAAAATATTTTTACATTTTTATCTTGAATCTATTATTTACATCTATGAATAAGAGATATATACGCATCTAAATCACAAAAAAATGTATGCATGAAAATATAAAAGTAATACATTTTTTAGATTAAGATATGTTTCAAATATATAATGCGAAACAAAGATAATTTGTAACCAATCAGAAAATATGCAAGTTTTTTTTAGTGAACTTATACAGGAATATATCTTTTTAATATAAAAAAGAAAAAAGCATCATCTATATTGAATAATTTCATGAGAAGACATATCTCGAAATTAAGAAATTAAATTTTTGGGGGCTTTGCAATTGACCAATATAATAACATAATTATAAATAATTAATCCTGTTTTTTTATATATATACATATGCTTCATAAGAATGATATGTAGTCATAACTTTTCTTATCTCATGATTCCATTGCTCTACGTTGAGATGCTAATAGCATTATCCTGTGACTTAGATTTATATTGTGATCTCTTAAATATCTTATTAGATCTGCTTGTTTTTCCAGCAATTCTTCCATATTTGTTCCCCTTTCGTGATAACCAATTTCTCCCATTCCAGAATAAGAATCCTGTGTAAAGGATGACAGCCATTCGTCGCGAGTAACGTCGGGCAATGGACGTAACTGATTGAATCTCATAACTCTTTCTACATGAGGAACAAATCGTAATGAAATATAATTAAATAAAGTAGTACAAATCTTTAAATTTTTAGTGCTTTAGTGTTAAAATTCATACTCTGAAAATGCTTTAAATGTTTACATTTTTTAAGAGAGAAATGACAAAGAAACCTCAAAATTATTTTCAATATTTCTTGATATTTTCTTCTATTATTCAAGATTTTTTCCCGATATTTTTTCAAATATATATGAGAATATACAAAGTTTATTTTGTTAATAAACTTTTCCTCTTTTGTTTGTTATATCCTTCTTTTGCAAGATACTTACTGATATAATTAATGTAAGCGGGCACAATTATCACAAGTTCCAAATTAGTTAGAACAAAAATGTAGTTCAGAGGTGTGAACCATTCTGATGTCTTGCAGTATCGCTCATAGTCAATTTTGTGTGTGTGATGTAGAATCACAGCAAGTAGCAAATAGCATGTGTTCCATAACGATGTAATGAAAAGAGGTATCCTTATAAGTCGATATGTTATTTGATAGAAATCTAAATATCCATCAATACGCAATTTATGATGCCTTGCTTTAACAACATGATCCGTCACCATGACTATCAGCCAATAGGCACAATGTAAATATAAGTATATAAAATACGTGTCACATTTGTTTTGCTCTTCTGGCCAGACAGACACAAACACAATCCCAGTAATTTCCAATGAAATCTACAAAATACAAAAATATTTCAATTATCCAATTCAGCTATTGAATATTTAATATATTAAAGACACAGCACAGTAAGTGAGATATACTTACTCCAAGCAAAAGTGACATGGATACAATTGGCACAGTGTTCAACTGCTGAAAATTGTCTTCTTCTTGAGAGCTCAAGATTGGTTGAAAGGATTGCTCTTCTTCCATTTTAACAGCTTGATTGAAAAACACTCATGAAATGAATGCTGGAATCATGGAATTATATTATATTCCAGAATATAGATTGTCACAATAATTTAAACCTAATATTTTTACAATAGTTTAAACCTAATAGTTTTTCTCTCTTATATACAATAAGTACCATATATATCAGTGAAAAAATGACTCTGTAATGTAAAGATAGAATTATACACAAGCGTTAACAATACCTACTAACACATACAAATAATTAATATTTTTATGAGTAAAAAATTATCTATAAAAATCACATATAAACAAACTAAATATATATCAGAGAGATAAAAATAGTAGAAAATACTAATGAAATAGAAATGCCAACGATAATTCTCATCTATGCGACAGTTTCAAGTATTGTGCATAGAATTTTATAATCATACGAGCATTAAAAGATAAAAAATATGCCTCAAAAATATTAAAAATAAAAGAAAAATTAAAAGAAACGTTTGTACCTGAAGAAAATAAGCAAAATTCTCGAGATTATTTCATCGATATATTTTTCTCTGCATTATTCTCCTCTCGTTAATGTATTTTAACGAACCAGTGCAAAATGAACGAAATAACGCTTAAATATAATTGTCAGAATATGATATTAATATCGTATATATACGTAGAAAGTGACAAGTGTGTTTTGAACCAAAATACTGCTCGTCTCTAATCGTAATAGACGTAAACGCTTTCATCGATCACAGTTAAATTCACTATGAAAAGAGGCTTTGTAATCGAATTAAACATCGATATGACATTTGATGTGCATTCCACACGAAATGAGGTTTCACTGCCCTAGGTGAGAAAATAAATCGCACTAACATTAAATACGCAGTGACACACACAGTTGCATATATATATATTTTATCGCAGTAAAGAATATTCATCGTGTCCGGTAAAAAAAAAATATCGAAGGAAATAATATTAAAGTTTGCGTCAACCAATTAAAAAAGAATTGGAATAATAAATGAGCCTAACTTAAAGTATAACTTTAATGATTAAAATAAAGTCATTAGAGTGAAATATTATAGTTGAAATATTGATACCTGTCTCGTGACAAGCACACTTTTATAACGCGCCTAAGCACAAGTCTGGTGGCCACGTGATCAATGATGTAGCTTAGGTTAGGGTCAAGCGTCAAGTAGTCGCTTCGTATGATTTGAAGCTTGGTTAGATTAGGTTATGTTTACATTCGAGACGTCGAGCTGACGGCGAGCACACGTATCTTATCGATATTTGTACAATTCACAGTGCACTACTCACATTCCCGGAAATATTCGAGTCCTGACCATAAAGTTGACCATGCTACATGATCTTGTCAAACACGGGACACCGACATCTTTTAGCCTCTCGTCTGCTCGAGTGACGCCATACCTCGCTTTGCTTCGAGTGCATTTGCGGCGTCATTCACTCGGCAGTGGCTGTCAAATCACTGGAGCCTCTTCCTGAGATATATGTATATATGTCGCAGGATAAGAAAATAGGTTACATGCAGGATAAGAAAATACGCTTTCAGCTCGATTTCGATGCTATCAGAAATCATCTCTACATTCGTTATCTGTGAAAATAAAAATGCGATAATTTTTTTCTTATTTACATATCATCACTTTTTTTATCTAAAGAAATTATAACAGTCTCCCAGGTAGCAAGATGACGTCTAAGACGTCTTAAAGACGTCATTAAGATGTCTTAAGACGTCTATGACGTCATTAAGACATTGTTAAGACATCATTCTGCTACTAGGGCTTTATAGTATACATATATAACATTGTTATCATAATACATAGTAGTTGATAGATTTATAAAATTGAAATCACAAATCAATTAGTCGTTATAATGTAATAAATTTTGACATTCGGCGAAATACAATATTTTTGTATATGGCACATTCCTCGCCTAGTGAATTATAAAAGTTGCAGTTTTCTATATTTCTATAAAGAAATTATGACATTGTGAAATATAGTTCATCTTTCAAATATATGTTTTGAAAATATAAACCTCTTGTAAATTGGAATTATATATTCCCATCGCATATATTAGTATTCTCAGTTAGTTTTGTGATAATCCTCAAGAATGCGTCTTCTCATCGGACGGAATAAAGTTTTGATCTATAAGAACAAAAAACTTTTTGCTCCTTTCTTTTAATTGGATAATCAAACGACTATTCTACTTCAAAATAGATTTTTAAATGCAATAATGTTACAATGCATCTGAGTTTTTCGTATATACGCAGCAACAATAAAATTTCAGCAGAATTTTCGGTAATTTTCAATTGTTTATTTTTTCTTCCTAGCTCATGAAAACAAGATAATAATATGTAAAGTAATTGCGAAAATATAAAATACTCCCTTTCTTAAGAATGTGTTTACTTAATATGTCGAACTTTTTAATGCAAAGTGGTTAAATATAAGTATTTAGTTAAAAAATATTTTTGTAATAGAGTGCGGGAAATTAATATTATTGATCGTAATTATATTTTAAAGTTCGAAGATTTATTGGAAAATAAACAAAAATAATCTACAATATTTTAAAATAAAAATATCAAAAATTCCATAGTGTCGCTAGATTTATTAATGAAACAATTATTATATAATAATTATTATAAATAATTATTATTATTAATAACAATTATTATTCAATTTTATTGCAAGCTTAAAAAGATTATTGAAGTGACTACCTGTTTTTTTTCTTGCCATTTCTTTTAGACCGACATACATAATATTGGATAATAAAACATATAAGGAAATAAGTAAAGTTTCTGAGCTTTCATTTCTGATTCTACATGTATATATAGAACCCAGGATTCATAAGTAACATTAGCATATGTGGAAGTCATATATTAACTTTTTTTGTTCGAAATTAGTAATGAGCGGAATTTTAATCTTATGAGTATAGTTTTAATCTTATAGTTACTCTATATATAAATATCATTTCCAGAACGACACTTCTCTCGTTTTAATATACGGCGGTGATATCCAATATCATTTCTAATTCCGGAATGTTCAACTGCGGATTACAAAGTGAATTTTTATTTCTTTATTATGGCGACTACAATGATAAACGCAATACAAAAATAATATAATGAGCGTCTTTATTTTGGTGAGTGAAATCAAAATTAATTGCTTCTAATGTTTGAGAGAATAATTATTTCTATTTTATATCACGTTATTCTAATATTATGAGCAATAAACGGAATAATCTGCGTTTTGATGTATTTGCTATTAAGCAATATTTCTTCATGACAAAGAAGAAAAAAATAAGAAAAAAAGTGTTAATTTAAACTTCTTCAGTATTGTAATAAAATAAATAATTTCTTTATATCAGAAATTTTTTCAAAAACATTCATCGTATGTGTTTTGAGTTTGTCGATTTTGATTGAAGAAGAAGAGTTCTAAAATTAAAAATCAGAAAACATTTCCTTTCTCGACTTCCGCTAATCATCAATAAAGAACAAATCAAACTTTGAATTCATTAATGCCGAATTAATATTTTCTGTAAATCTGTATTTTCAAAAAATACTAAATCGGTAACATTTAATTAACATTTGTTATAAATAATGTTGGGACTTATAAGTAATGTTAACACTTTTATTATATTGTATAAACCTATCTTAATAAAAACTTTATTCAAATAAAAAAAGCATGATTATTTAATTATTTCTCATTCTCAGCTAAAATTAAAAATTGAAATAGTATAATAAGTCTTAAAAATACTAAATTTATCCTTATATATATCTTAAATTTTTAATGCATATTTAGTAATAGTATATATATTTAATTAATATCTGAAAATTTTACAGAATATTTAACAGAAAGTATATTTTAGTATATTTAAGTATAGTTAATTAATATCATACATATATGTGTATATTTCTGTGTATGTGTGTGTATGTATATATTTATATTTATAATATATGTATGCATATATTATATGAATGTGTATAAATTTATATTATATTACCCGATTATGCTCCAACATTATTTTGGATTTAAACGAGATTTAAATATATGTCTACCTATTATCTTTCTTCCTAAATTAATAACGATAGATATATATTTAAGTTTCGCTTAAAGCCAAAATAACGTTAGTGTATCCGGGTTTTAAACATTCATGCTGCATAATTGATTTCTTCGATGCGTTATCTAGATGTATAGATCTTTAGTTTTCTGACTGAGTACAACACAAAGATTCAACATGTTCTATCTGTTTCTGGATTTCCAACCAGCGTGTTTCTATCTTGTGTTCAACATCGGGAATAATAATGCTTCTTATGTCCAAAATTGGAATTGATGCTTCAATTTCATGTTTTACAAAATTGCTTATCTAAAATAGATTAATATCGCACTATCATGCAGAATATCTTTATAAACAGAATTAGAAAAATTATACAAAATATATCATAATTATATTATAATAAAAAGTAAATTTTATAATAAAAACTTAATAAATAAGTACAGAAATTTGATTCATTATTAATTTACCTCGTCCAACTGATCCTTGAAATACACATTGTTAATCATAACAATTAAAGTCACAATATGATTGACTTCCCTATGAAAACAAAACAATACATTTATAATTAATTCAATAAATTTTCACGTCTTTGTGTAGTATATTTTTATTAAATAATATCATTACCTGTGATTTATTTTTTCGAAATTATTTAATAAATCTTTAAGCATATACTTAGTATTCCTCGCAAGAGTAAAAAGAAAAATATTAGCATTTAAGGCAAAATCTTGCTCGTTTGGACGGTAAGGTTGATACCAAAGTTTTTTCAAAATTTGTGGTAATTTTATTTCTAAATAATTAATTATAATTTCAGAATTTTCAGTGCAAGCCAGGCATTCCAAAATTATATGATCTGTTTCCTTCATGTAATACTGAAAAACTTTCTCCCATATACCACGATCTGCCATTTTCAATCCATTACAATATGTCCACCTCTTCCATCCAGGTAAAAGTCTACAGAAGATAGAAAAGAAGTAGAGATGTTTTAACAAAATTATGTTAATAGATTCTTTAGTGTTTGATTTGAAAATTATTTCTTATACATATGAAAAATAATTTATTAATTGCATAATATAAAAATAATACAAAAATATTTCGTATCAAGTATTGTAAAAAGAATTACTTATTTTTTTTAGTATTTAACAGATGCCATTCCAATGTACGATTGGCCAATGTTTTACAAAAAGGATCATCAATAATACATTTCCACTTTGCGAGTTCTTGCTTTAAATATGTAGTATGATCATCGGCGCTATTTTCATATGAATTCCACATCGTTAAAGGAATATTCTGTACCATAAATTTAAACTGTAACATTTGCCAAAATTTGATAAAAATTTAGTATTTTTTATTCAATTTTTTCACATTATTTATAAGTAGAAATATAAATGTATATGTATTTTTACTACACAGTTTTATTTTAATAAGTTTATGATGTTATAGTGGTAACTATTATAATAATCAAATTAGTCAATCTTTTATTTGTATAATTCTGTACATATTTTGTATCTAAATGGATCTACATTCTTAATATGTATTTTTCAGTTTATATGAGTGACTCAAATTATGTGATACAAGTTCGAAAAATAATAGTTTGAGAAATACTTTTTTTCATTTTCTTTTATTATTGAGTAGACATATAAATGATTTAAATATGTAAATCCGATTGTTCTCGAAAATAGATGATTTCAGTTTAATTATATTAATGATACATCGCGTTGCACCTAAAATAATAACTAGTGATTCGTAATCAAGTTTAGAATTATATCACTTAATATTAGGCTCATTCATATATTGATCGATGAATTTATATGATCAATTATTTTTTAAATTTAAATCTGTATATCGATTTTAAATATTTCAAATCTGTAAAGTATCAACATTTTTAAACAAATATTTATAAATAGATTATTATAAACTATATACAATGTAATAAAATTATTATAAAAGTAAGTCAGTTTCTCTCTTCAAATAAAATGTTTGCAAAAATTTTATTCTCCGCAAACATTCTATTGTGAAAGAAAATTAATATAAGAAAGATAATTGTTACTGTGTATTCTATGATATCCTAAACTTGAATATAACAATTATACACCATTGTAACTTGTAATATAAATTCTGAAGTCTTAATATTGGAAGAAAATAGCAATAGGAAAAATTCAAAATTTATAAAATGTGAGAGAGATTATTACAAAGATTATTACATTATTATTATTATTATAGAGAGATTACTACATTATTAAAAAGAAAATATACATAAACATTTAAAATATATTTTTGACCTAAGATATATAAATAACAAACTTAAGTAATAATATATAATTAAAATATTTCTTTAAAATCATACTTCATATATCTATTTTTCAAAGAATTATCTCTTATGAAATGAAATTATTGCATTAAATCGTAAATAATTGGCTTAATAGTAAATTTAAAAAATCAATAATTGTCTACCTCACCTACCTTCAAGTAAGGATAAAATTTTAATAATGGGATCAAACGCGACAAAAATTCAAATACTTTGATCATAGGATACCATGCTATATAATCTCTTTCCCTTGACAAATAATTAGCAAGTTTCCAAAATAAGAGAAAATCAAGATTTTTCTTCATCACAAAGTAAAATGCGTCATCGATGATTTGTGCTCGATTGAGAACATGTATATTCGTATATTTCTCAGAATTTAAGTATCGGGCAATTTTTCGCCAATTCTCGGTATCATAATAGACGCGATAAGGTCCTGTTATAAAACAAATTACTTTCCTTAATTATTAGATTTTTTTAATCTTTTATATAAACTGAAAACTGTTTCAAAATTTTTGCATTTTATGCGATTTTACCTTAAATATATATATATAAATATAAATAAATATATATACATAGAACAAAATAAAGCGTTACGAATTTTTATTTACAAAAATATTGTTTCTAGAGAAAAAAAGTTTCAAATAAAAGTTAGGGTATTAAAGGCGGCATAAGTTAATATGTTATAGGAATGTTTGTAAGTGACAGTCTCTGAGATCGAGATCAACTTCATTCCTTTAATAAAAATAAATGACCTTTCAAATTCTGATATAAAAAATATTTCCATTCAAAACAAGAAAATTTACTCCGTAATGAACTTGAAAACCGTCAACTACCGTTAACCGTAACTAACGTTTCTACATACCATTTGAAATTATACTGCTATTTTTGTATGAAATTTTTCTCTGAAAACAATATTTTTGGAAATAAAAATTCGTAATTCTTTATTTTGTCTACTTTGTATATATATACACACATTATTTTAAATATATTTTTTGTTTATTGTTATTTGTAAACCTGTATCACATATGATATATGATAATAAATATGGTATGAATTGAAAAATTCATAGAAATTTGTACGTAAATTTGTATAAAAATTTTGTAAAAAATCAAATTAGTCTTGCCTACAAGTATAATATTGAAATTATACAATATATATATATACAGAGAGAAAGAGAGAGAGAGAGACAATGAAAACCTAAATTCATTATCCAATATTTACCAGCTTGTTGTAAGTTGAAAATAATCCATTGATTTTTGTCAAGAAAGAATTCAATTTGTGATTGTGATGGTGTTAACCAAACATTTGTCCAAGTTTTGGTAAAATTAGGGTTCAACTCCGTAGTATAAGTAACAGGTATATAATATTGTTTTTCATCCAATGTGTTGTTAAATTGTACCGATATATTTACAACATTTTTAGAATAATCTCGCATCACGTTCAATACGGGAAAGCTTCTCTGCATAGCCCATGATTCCATTATGCTTTTTATATTAAGCTTATAGTTGAAATTTAATTCAATCATGATAGATTGCATAGCGTTCCATAAATGATCGGAAGTTGTTGCTTTACGGTCAGAGAATCTAAGATAAGATTTAACATTATGGCAATTTTAATACTATAAAATTAATCAGCGCATAATGAAAAAGAAAATCATAATTTATATAATTTAATTTCATATTTTAATTTATAAGATAATGTACTTTTATAGAAAAATATTTTTAAAAACTTTAATATAATTATATATGTATTGTATATATATGTATATATATATATATATATATATATATGTGTATATGTATGCAATTATATTAAAGTAGTATATAAATTTATATAAATTTCAATCTCTACAGAAGTTATATTATATTATATTTATATATCCAAGATCAATCATAATATCAGTAAATAGACCATTTTAAAGCCTATATCATTGGTCTGAAACATTTCTTCATAGCTTCACTATTTTCAGAAATAATTGACCGTTTCCAGATTTTTAAATTACGCTGGTTATTTATAACGTATAATAAAAAATATAAATATATATTTATTAATGAATGACAATCTGTCGCAAAATTGAATAAATAATAATTGTAATTTTTATATTACGAAGAATCATTTATATTTGTATGTTTGAAGAAAACTAGATTCTCAAAATATTATTCAATTCGAATTGTTTAAAAATTAGAATTTATTTAAATCTCTATCATAGAATTTATTTAAATCTCTATCATAGAATTCATTTAAATCTCTATCATATTCATTAAAAAAAAATTCGTGTTGAAATTCAATCGACAAAAATTCATAAATATGAAAGAACTGCGTTAATTTGAGATATTTTAAATAACTACATCTTTCTTAAACATTAAATAAGAAATATATTGTCGAACTTATCACATATATTTCAATTTCTTTTTCCTATGTATATTATATATTATTACATTGCAATATATCATACTTACAGGTTCAAATATTTATTGATGCCCATAAAGAATATATTAGATGGCAATGTTCGTTCTAACATACGCCATATAATGGATCCTATAATGTTGGAAAGAAAAAAAATAATTTAGTATATTTAAAATGCAATGCGTAATGGAATAAATCTATAATTAAAATTAAATATAAAGTTTGTGTAATTAAATTTAAATAACTACAGTTATAAAAGATTGTTAAATACATTTCAACGCAAAAAAACTTATAACAGATCTATAACGGATTAATAAAACAATACTTGTGGAAATAACAAGTTACATAATTATAAGGAATTGATTGAAAAGTTTAATGTCTTGTTACATACATTCTGTTTAAGCACTTATTGAAAAATCTTGTTTTGTATTACGTTTCATGATTTTTGTGAAGTCGTAGATAGACATATATATAGATAAAGTTTTGAAAAGTTATATATTATAAAATTATATAAAAAAATTTAGGATAAATGTTTACATATAATCAACTCCTGCAAAAATATTAATGACCTTGTCATACGTTATAGAGATCATCTTTCTGAGTAACATACAGAAGATTTTGCGTAGATTTATCATTTGTAAATATTTAATATAATGAATTATGTATTTTACAAATCAATTTGCTTATATATGACCTTATTTTTTATGAAATTAACATTTAGAAATTTATAATAATTTATTCAATTATTTATTTTACATAATGTTATATATATACCTTTGATATGGGAAAGAGAAGAATAATAATTTCCAGGATAAGTATTATATTCTACAGCAGAATTTATAACAATATATGAGTTTAGATCGAGTAGTGCATGTTGAACTTGAACTATAAACCAATCCATCATTCGGGAATTTGGCAGAGCCTAAAAGCAATTCAATGAAAATGATAATTAATGAAAAAGAAAAAGCTTTTGATACATATATCAAATAATTATTATGTACTAATATTAAAAATACAGTTTGTATATAAATTGTATGTAATTTGTATGTAAATTTTTCCATAATAATTTTAATATATTTTAATATATAACATTTATTTCTTATTAAATTCATTTACCAAATTTATAGAAATTTAAAAGACAGAATTGTCATTTTATATTTAATAAATAAAAAGATTTGCACAAATATTTATCAATTGTCTACGTTGCTAAACTGTTAATTGTTTTGATTGTGTATTCATAGGGTTCGTAAGATAAGACAACCTTCTCAAGGATATATTCTTGAAGATACATTATAAAGCCTTCGTTTAACCATTGATGAAAACAATAAGATGGATTTAACAGATTGCCAATATATTTTTGTGTCATTCCACGTGCTATTAAGCGTGCAATTCTCATTTTGCGAGCAACAGGATCTAGTTCATCATCATAAATTATATCTGTTTCTCTAAAAACCATTTCGCATTATAAATGTATTAAAAATGTTGGATAGTAATATAATTTTTTACATAAATTGATTATAATATATCTATTTTTATAATTATGTATATTACCTGTAGAAAACGAATCCTAAAGTCTGCTTAATTTCATCTTTTAAATCAGAGAATGCGACATGATCCACTTTTCTCTCGATGAAAAGAAGGGCCTTTTCAAGGACTTTTTTCGAATTATACCAATTCTTCTCTAAGTACATAGTAACATTTTCAGCAACATGTAGTGCAAATTTCATATGCGGTATCAATTTCGATCTGCACCAGATGCTAGTTGTGTTATCCAAATTGGTAATCCTATGAAAACTGGATTCCATTAATATTACATTACTTATAGTGAAAAAAGACTTGTAAAAATATGTCAACATCATATTATTTTCCAACAATTTAGATTCTCGTATCGGCATATTTGACAAAACTTTGTAACTTCGATCATGCTTTATGGAAATATCAAAAGTAATCCTTAATTCTGGTTTGTTCCAAAATGGCAATATTTGTTGTTGCTTTGTCTGGACACCTGTTATGATTAACCACCTGCCATATTTTAACGATATATTAGATAACGACTAATTCTAGACAATTGTGGGCAGAAGGATGTACAAAAAGCACAAATGTACCATTTATTTTTGATAATTCAATATCTTTACTTATTTTATTTATTTTCACTTATTTCCAATATCTTTACTTATTTTTGATAATTCAATATCTTTACTTACTCTTCTGTACTTCTCTCTGTTCCATATCTGCCTTTATTCAGAGTTGCGAAAGTGTCTGTTACGAATTCAATAGGTATACTAAATTGTATATACAGAATATATACTCCACGGAATAAGACATCGTCAAGGTGAAGCAAAATAATGTCGTCATCATCTATTGAACGATCAAAATAATAATCTTGTTTCGCTTCACGAATGACTCTATTGTTAATTTCCTTTAATTCCCATTTGCTTATCCTCATCCAAAACAGCACATGAAAACCGATATAGTGTGTTTTGTCATTAACATATATAATGATTTCACATTCGCCATAAAAAAACATAGTAAACATAGGATTAAATTGAAATTGTACGATATAATGCATTGGCGTTATATTTTCCGATAAAATGTAATTTGATACATTGCGCTTCGTATTTTCCCATTCGTCTTCTTCATCGATAGAATCCGCTATTGCGATTGCAGCAATGTATATTAAACTTCTTAATAACAGTTTTAAGATTATCATGTTAAATTTCTGTTGAATATCTGTAAAAACGTTTCTTTATTAAAAAATAAGTAATTTAGAAAGGTAAGCAGATCGATTGATTTTGATGTAAAAAATATGCAAGTGAATTGGCACCAAGATAACAACTTACAATTTTAATTTTAAGAAAATTCAATTATTTTAAAGAAAAATTAAACAATATAGTGATTAATGACTGGATCAATCATTGAAAAAATATAAAATTTATTCAAACGACATATTAAATATTTTCCTTGAATTTGAATATGAAGAACGTAATTTTTTTTAGAATACATAGATAGATGTATTTAAGTAATTCCAAAAAAGACAAATACAAGAAACATAATTCTTGTTTATGTTTAAGATTTATCGAGCTTAGTTATCTTTAAGGTTTCTTTTAATGTAATTATATATTTTTGTCTTGCATATTATGGCATTCTACATACATAATGAGTTTAAAAAATTTTTGAATCCTTTATATATATATATATATATATATATATATATATATATAAGCAAATAAGAAAAAATATATATGTGTGTGTGTGGTGTGTGTGTGTGGTGTGTGTGTGTGTGTGTGGTGTGTGTGTGTGTGTTTTAGTTTAGAGAGACATATATAGAAGCATTGAAATATACGAGAAATGAAGAAATATTCTCAACAACTGGATTTTATAAGTAATATAGATTATATGTTTATTAACATTTTGTTTTCAAAATCAATTTGTCCCTTTTAACCTTAAGTAAGAAATGTATCAAGAACTTACGAACAATAAACATATAACGGAAATCAAATATCAAATATTACAAATTAAATCAAACTCTCGGACAAAACCCTAAAAAGAATTATATTAGTATTTCTTAAAATACGTTCTTTCGAGTAAAATTTATCGAATTAATAAAAATTTCGAATTAATTTTTTCATCGTTTATTCTTCATTCATTCATTACATAACCAATTTAACATATATCCTATGGATTCTAGATACTCATTTTAAAATATTTTTCTAAAAAATATAACACGACCAATATTATATGTTTTTAGATAACTTTATAGAGTAATAGTACAAAATTAATTACACATATAATAATTTTATAATATTAAAAAGGAATTTTGCTTAAATTTTACATTTTCTATATGTCAAAATAATCAAAATATGCTATCACATAAATCAAATCAATAATCACATAATATTGCGTAAATGTTTTTATTTCCATTAACTGTAATATGTGCAAAAGATAGGAACAGTAATATAAAAGTAGAAACAGTATAATAAAAGAAGTTAGTCAATTTGAAAAGTAAAGAAAAATGTCATTTATAAAATAAAATAAAAGCGTTGTCTGTTATTACACACATTTTTGCACATTTAAAGAAAAAGAGATAGAGAAATATTTTATTGAATATTTGTTTATTGAATATTTATTATAATAACTTACTCTATAAATTGAAATAGCCACAGGTTATTTAATATCGAAATCCTGAATTCAATCGCGATCTTACTACTTCTACAAACTACTATAAACTGACGGCGTTGTCGGTATACCTAATAATAAATATGCAAGGTACGAATGTCATGTAAATATCATCTTAGTTATACGTAACAGTAGGGGTATCTTACTCATCGGTAGAAGTTAATATATACGTACTTGTTTAGTCTTTGTATACCGTTTTCATGAAATAGTACTTTTATTTATAAAATAATTTATCTAGAGAAGCATTTGCGAAAAATATCAAATAAGGAGTTATATTTTCTCTTTCTCTCTCTCTGTCTCTCTCTCTCTCTCTCTCTTTTTCTATATATATATATATATATATATATATATATTTTATTTTACATCTTTTATATATATATATATATATATATATATATATTTTATGTTACATCTTTTTTTTATAAAGAATTATCTCTTTTCCAAATTTTACTGTAAAATAAATAAAAGACAAATGCCTGTATTGTATCATTTAAAATATTTTACGTTATATTTTCTGTTTGTGGGTTTAATTTTTACGCAAGTTAATGTATCGATTTCCATCGTTTCATTGTTATGGCTGAAGATTTTTCTTCCACATAGAGGTAATTCTAATTTAATTGACTATAAAGAGATTGAGGCTGCTATTCATCATTATGATAATATACAGTTATTAGAGAAATACGCCGGTTAGAAACCTATCATTGAATGAAATATTATAGTTTATCGATTTACGTATAAAAATCGAATATCTCTCGTTTATTATATTCTCCGTTTATTATATTCTCCGTTTATTATATTCTCCGAAATATAAGAATCGCAGTTTTCTAAAGAAATGATGAAATTAAAATATAGCTTTTCTTTCAAATACATATGTTTTGAAAAAGTTGACTTCTTTCAAATTTTAATTACACATTCTCATCGACCATACTTCGGCTATTTTCGCGGTATTTTTCAAGATTGCTTTTAAAAATCTTTTCGTCGAATAGAATAACGTTTCATTGATTCAGAATAGAGAAATATATGCTCCTTTTATTCTTATCTGAACAATTAAACGCTACTCTTCTTCAAATAAGTTTTCGAATTCACCCCAACAGTGTTGTAATGTACATACCTGAATTTTTTGCACATTCGCGAGAACAATAAAGTTTGCAAAATTTTAACAAAATTTTCGGTAATTTTTAATTGTTCATTTTTTTCTTCTAGCTTAAGGAAACAAAATGATAATAAAATAATTGCAAAAATATAAAATACTCCCTTTTTTAGAAATGTGTTCATTTAAGTTGTCGCGTTTCTTAATGCAAATTTTTGTGGAACATCCTACAATAAATATTTTATTAGAAAAAAATGTTATAGACTGAATTAAAATTGATTGTAATTATATCTGAAAAATTAGGAGATTTATTAAGAAATAGATAAAAATAGTCTACAAGTTTTTAAAAAGAAAATAACAAAAATTTCAATGCCTTTAGATTTATTATTGAAAACAACTATTTTATTATTAGCTTTTATTATAATTCTGTGAAGAAATACTGCATGCTAGAATAGCTTCTCGTTTTATTTTTTGTATGCAACTTCTGAGGTATAGTTATAAACGTACAGGCAAAAATAATAATTGTGCTATATTTAATTAAAATTTAATTCCTATTTATTCAAAATCTAGTTATTTCTACATAAGTAATAACTAGACATTAGCATTATTATATCACAAATTTTATTGCAAATAATATTATTTGTAATATTATTAATTGACTAATTTTTAATTGACTGTGATATTATTTTTAATTGTATTTTTAATTGACTTGGAGGCAGAGTGCTTGCTAGATCTCCGCGGGATGCAATTTAGCGTCACCTACGCGTTGAGAAATTATAAAAATAAATTCGTTTAATGTAACGCGTCACTCTTTGTGATATATAAAAATATATATATTTATAAATATATATATTTGTGATATATAAAAATTTGTAATTAACATCGCGCTGAAAAAGGATCAAAGATGATCCGAAATGTTCGCTTTTTATTATTATAATATGTTTTTAATAAACTAATATTAAAAAAAGAAAGAAATGTTGCTTCTCTGCGCTTCAACTACCGCGCATTGGCTTTTATGCCATTTTCTTTTTGGTTTTTTAATATTATTTGCAATATATTAAATTATAAAATTATTTAATCCTTATTGCTCCATAAATTGATCATATTGATTGCCAATTTCGAATTTAAAAGTACCCAAATTGGTTGAAATTTGAAATTGTTTTTTTTAAATTAATCATAATCTTTGTCAAGTAAACCCGGAACTAAAGGAGTTAAAATCAAAGTAACATACAAAAATTTAATGTATCCCAATTATATAACTCATATATTTTTGTTAACATGTTAATAATAATTTCTGATAATAATGTGCAAATTTTTATTTCAGATATAATTCGTAAATCTTGATTTTAAATATTTACTAATTAGTTGGACTTTTACGACTTCAGTTTTTGAAATATCTTAATCAAAAATTTTTATTAATATGAAATTTTGAATAAGCTCGGTGGCGTATCGCGTTCAATAGAAAATTATATAAAGCATAACTAGACTATAGATATAAAGATATAAACATATAAAGATAGATTCAGTATGAGATGGATATATATTTGTCTCCAGACAAAAAGGGAAAATGCATGCTTAATGTGCTGGAATCTGCTGGATCTATCTTTATATGTCTACAAGCTGGACATTAACGATCACTCTAGTTATAAATAACAGATAATTTCAAGTTGCAAGAAGACGAGAAGAATCTCACGATCAAGCAAACAAATAACGATCCATGAAGGAAAATTCACAACCTACGTAAGCATATTTTTTAGGCCACGTGTATCTCTTTAAATTTCCAGTTCTTTTTTCACAAAACGTAAACATGCCGAAACGATCCATCTACTTGCAACCACCAGACAATCCTTATCGAAGAACCCAACGCGATCTTGAATTTCTATACAATTACTGGAATCGATTGCTCGCCGCGAATCAAAACTATGATATACGTCTTCCGGAATTATTACGAGCTAATCATTTAATGAGACATTTATCCTCTCTGTCTACGAATCACGGATTGAGAGTCAACGTGAGCTTCACCGTTCTTGACGACAGCGATCTCTTGGAACCGCAGGACATGTATACCGAAATGTATCAGTTGTAATACATTCCTTCCTCATAAAACTCTTATTTTCAAATAAAAATTATTTTTCCTTTTTTAAAGAGAAAAATACAGAAAATATTTTAATAAAACGTGAAAAATGATGATAGAATCTCAAATAAAGAAACTACTTATTTATGATTTTTCTTTCCAACTTTTTTCTGCCATTGAATGATTTGATGTAATTTAAATTTTTAATATAAATATCTATTTCATGCAGGAATAATGTGTCGCCTCTTTATACTGAATCTCATAATGGACCCTGTCGATCGCCTTGCAACGCTAATACAGCTAGATATAATAATTTACTTAGGAATTATATAAGGCAAATGAACGAAAATTATGCGGCGATCGAAAGAGAATTGACAAGGGCCAGAATATCGATGCCTCTCGTTGAGTGTGACAGATTCACGGGATGCCAGAATACATTTTACAATCAGGTTCGATTTTACATATTTTATTTCTAATTCAAAGTAAATTATTTTATCATATTAATTTTTCTTATTTCGACTTTTGTAGCGCGCAACGACATATAATTGGAATAAATTTCCTGCTGGAAGTCGAACATGTCCCACAAGGATTCCCTCGGGGTTACGAGAAAAATATGTTAATACGCAGGAAAATAACAATCGTCCAGCTTGTGCATCATTCCAGCACGAATGTTGCATTGCGGATAAAAACGCCGGCTGTTCGGTGAATCAGCAACCAACAAATCAAAAAGAAAATTCATCCAAGGTAATCAATCAATAAATCATAATCATAGATATAAGATATTATGATTACTTTTTTCTTTATATTGTTGTATCGATAATAATTGCATAAATCTGTGTGTATAAAATATTTTGAATTTTTGATATTCATTATATATTCATTATTTTTGATATTCATTTCCTTTCTATATTTGCGATTTCCAATAAAAGCAAAAAAATTAATGATTTTTCAGGGATTTAATGACTTACTAAAAACAACTAAACAACTTAACTTTCAAAGTTCCTCGCAACTTGCTCCTTCCTGCGCAACTGTAAAGAACCTGCAACCAAATAATAACGTTCGTTAATTAAATCTGTTTTGATTAAATCTTGTTTCAAGTTCCAACGATATGGTACAATATACTCATAAGTGCATAAATTTCAACGAATGAAAGATAAGATTATTTCCATTTTCTGAGCTTGCATGACTTTTGCTACGTACTTATATAACTGTTATGATAAGCGACAAATTGATATTGACAACTGCATCACTGAAATCGATAGTAAACGTAATTCTAGTTCCATCCGCTAATCCAACATCTCAAACCTGTGGAAATCGATCTTCTGAAGAAGTAGATAAACTGCACTTTTAGTATATTCGTATCCCGTCGATATTTTTCAAATATTTCTTTTTCTTAATGCATTACCAATTCACGGATTATGTGGATCGCATTATATAGCTATTATATTATAGCTCACAAGCTATAATATCTCGTATTTGTACGATTTCTACGATTTAAAATTAATTCGATTTAACTGCAATCGAATTATCCAGGCTATTGTATGCTGAGTGTCATGTTTATAAATGTAACACCGTTGTATGTTATTTTCGGGAAATGTTTAGTTTCACAGACGCTGCACAGACAAATATTGCGTAAACTATGGCAATTTTTTTACCGATAGACCAAAACGCGCTAACGCCCTCAAAATAGCGAGTAGCAAATAAAATAATCGACTCGTAAAATGTCCGGCTATGTTTAATTGTTGCTCCAACTTGAAAACGCAGCATATTTTATCAGTTATGTAGAGTCTTGTCAGAAAATATAAATCACCGTACAAAACTTTCATATGGCATAGAAACAAAACATACTTTTTTATTGAAAAAATATTCAGCAATTATATATATTTATATGATATTTTTTTCACTCGAAATAGTTATCGCTGACAGCCGAATATAATTTATCTTTGTTTATTCCAACAATCCATCTTTATTCACTCACATTTTCATTATATTTAGATATGCAAATTTATGTTATTTTGTGACAAGATGGATAAATTTATGACACAGCGTATTTCTTTTATTTATTTGAAGATTCTCTGTCTATTTCAAATTTTCAAATTCCATGATAAAGTGCCAATAGATTTCACATTCCAAAGAGTTAATAATAAAGAATTAAGAAAAAAGTTATAAGATTCCCCAAGGTTATAAAATTACCCATCTGCCAGGCAGTAATTTTGGTTTACGATAACATCCGGCGGATCAAACATTATCCAGGCTTTACAGAGCTGCGTGAGGACTGCGTTGGACCTAAACGACAACGCAATGATAAAGCGCCACAGCTCGAAACAGTCGATGGAAGAGTGCCAAAATGTCGATAAAATTATTAACGATGTGGCGAAAGCCTCCCATTCGGCGGAATCACCAAACGTCAAACCCAACGATGACGGCGTCACAATAAATAAAAGCGATAAACAATCGATCGATCCGCAACCGATCAGCTATCAGGGAAATACTCTGCCAGAGTCAAGCTTCGCGACGGATCGAAGCCAACAAGGACGCGGCAGCAAGCGTAAACTGGACGATTTAGAAGATCGATCGACAACGACCGAATTGGATCTAGGAATTAGTAGTCAATGGAATCAATGGAGAATGACTGAAGGAATCAAGCCGCGCATCAAGGATGCGCCGATGATATTCACTCCAGAGAAAAATGCCAGAAACAGAATCAGAAATGGTAGAATGATGGAAGGAAGACCGTTCTCGAGAAGACACGTATCATCGCCGAAATATGCGAGTTTTCTGAGGATGTTTCACAAGGAGGAAGTGGACGAACTTCGTAGTAATTCTTCGCCTCGCAAGGACGACGGTGAAAAATTGCAACGTCGAAGAGGACTTTCCACACAGAGGTATAATATTCAATATGTGGAATATGTAGAATTGTAAAATATAATGTAGAGAGGAAAGAAAAGAAATTTTAAAAGTTTCAAGAATTAAGAGGAGATATTTTCTCTTGTACAATTTTTTTCTTGCTCAAAAACTATGAGAAAATTTTAAAAATTGTTAATAAATATACAGATTATGTTAGGATATACATATAGAATTCTCATATGTATATACAATGGCTTATAAAATTAAGGAATCAAATCTTCAAAATTTTTAGAATTAGAAAGGTATTATATTTTCGAAATATATTTTTTTAAGTTTCATATGTCTTTTAAATTTAAATATTTTTAAAAAAATGTTGATCGTTTAATTTTTATTTTATTTTTTATTTTAAAAATATATGCTTCTTTCTTGTAAAAAGTAGATAAAAATTTGTTTTTATGCTTAATTTATACATACATATATATGTATATATAAAATAAAAAGAAAGATAAGATCAAACATTTTTCTTCCTTGTAAAAAATAGATAAAAACAAATTTTTATCATATAATATATTTCAAAAACATAATATTTTTCTAATTTAAAAAATTATATCTAACCTTTGCAGAATTTTTAATTTATTTCATCATTTTATATGACTGAATAATAAATTATTCTGAATAATAAATTATTCTAATTATTCTTCTAATTTATCAAACATATTTCCAGCACCAGATCAAACGAATCCGATCAAACAAATCCACAAATTGAAAGAAGAATGCCGACCCCGAGAAGCACAGTGCACACGACGTACAATCCCATAATGCACTCATCGGCCACTGATCCTATTTTAGATTCTAGCGGTCTTACAATACAGCTCTTGAGGTATTTAAAATTTACTTAGTTTCTATTTCGTATTCGTTTTTAATTATTTTTGTTTCTCTATTTCCTTCTCAAGATTTATAAACATGTATATCAAAAGCTATTAATGATGAAAAAATGTGGAATGTGAATAATGTGAATAATAATAAAAGTATATGTAAAAAATTATCTTATTAATGGTGAGAGAATATGAATGTATGTACGAATAATAAAAATAACATATGTAAAAAATTATCTTAAATTATATCATTAACATTAATATCCAATATAAAATTTCGCAATCAAAAAAACATAATCCCATTTTAAATAAATCAATAAGATAAAAATAATTATATATATATATATATATATATATATATATATTTTGTTAAATCTCTTTTTTAAAAACTTTATTTAAGATAATTTTTAATTATTTACACAGGCTGGCCGTTTTATTGTACGCGCCCGCGTTGATGCCGGCATTGAATTCGTTGATCGCTCAACAGAATCAGCAGACGCCAGTATCGTCTTCTTCCTTCGAAAGATCCAATGATCTATTGACGCAAATCTTCCGACTACTTCATGAACAACAGTCCATTTCTAATTTGCCGTTTGTTTCGCTCGGATCCGAAAGAGGTTCTCCAACTTTGGCCGCTGAAACGAATACCGAAAGTTCACAGACACATTCCAAACAAAAGGACAAGAATATCTCAATCACTACTGAAAAATCTCCTTTTTCTTTGAAGGAAGAATCTACTTCTGCTGGGATAAGCAGATGGAATTCGAACAATCACGTACAACAGCAGAAGGAAAGAGCTCGAGAAAGGCGATTAACGTCAATGCTAACTGATTCCGATGTGAGATTGAACAGAAACATTTTCGCGATGGAGGACTTGCGGAAGTTCGAAGAATTCCTGAGAACTGGAAAGAAACGTTCGGAAGATGTTCGATCTTTATCCACGAGAAACAAGAACGAGATCGTCATGAAGGAGTACTTTCGGAATTGGCTGCACCGATTGTTGCAGCAACTTAACTCATCGAGTAATAATTTATCCGTGAACGACCAAAAGGCAAAATATTCCGAAGGATCTTCAAACACAGGCGAATCTTCCTTAGAAGAGATAGAAGGACAAGGAAATACGAACCGTTTGATAGTTGAAGAGTCGTCGAAGGACGAAGGGAATATCTTCACCGAATACGAGGAAGAGGATTCCGACGAGCAGAAATCGTTTACTTCAGCTACGAGTACAAACTCTTCGAGATCGCTGCAGCTTAAACAGAACGACGTGAGGAAGGCAGAATCACGAAATGAAAATCCACAAGATTAATGCAACTTCCGGCAATAAACATACCGCGCCTACACTTGGAATTAAAAATTGACATAATAATAAACGTGTATACTTCAAATATATCTTCGGCGACGAAACGAATAGCCACAGATCATTCGTAAAATAAGCTCTTATAAATCACTTGAAAACAATAAACAATAAATCCTTGTTAAGACACGGGATAAGCATGAACCATGTGGCAGGTTCGTGAGGACGCTTGCGCGTCTGTAGCCAAACACGTGGACGTAAACGTCGCAAGCCAAGCTTTTCCGCAGCGCGCCAAGAGCTTGCAGTCGTGCGTATCATCGCTACCGGAACGTTTCTTCTTGATCGGTGATCCCTTTCTTTCGCGTTCACCCCTGTATCTATTTATGTGTGTCTGCGAGTGTTTGGAATAATAAACAATCAAACCATTACCGAACCAGAAACGAAAGAGAACGCTAAAATAAACGATAAATAACAAAGTCTGTTTTCTTGTATATAACTATGAATGGCAGATGAGAAAAAACGCGTAGAATCATTGAAAGACGCCTCGTCTCGTGTGCGAATAATTCATTTAAAAAATTGAAAAATGTTAAAAAATTTTGAAAAGAAAATCTTATCGCAATAAGCAGCGAGGAGAAAAATTTTTTCTCTAGAATGCGAGACAACGCAGAGTCATGTGTGATTGAGGAAATCAAGAAAATACCTAAAATTTTCGCGTTAACTCGCAGAGGCTGAGATGAGCATGGAGGGGAGCAGCGGTGAAGTAAACCCGCAGGATGCAACTGCATCGGATGTCCAGGTGGATGCGCTGTCGAAAGACACGAATGCGGAGATTTATGAAAATCGCGGACCTAAGAAAATTATTCGCGTGGTCACCGTGATGGCCTACCTGATCTCAGTGAGTTTCGTAGCTATCCTCTTAAGCGCCTATTATATATTTTTATGGGAGCCACCGAATCCGAGATTGATAGAGCGAGGAAGATTGCGGGCGGATCCGCAGATGCAATATCTGATCGCCACCATACCTTCAGAGAAGACGGATTTGAAGAAGAAAGGCAATGACTTTCTGCAAACTGAAGTAAACCGCGAGTACAAACCTTTTGTGAGTCGCATAGCGTACGATGGGGATAATCCCAAGATTAATTCTCAGAACAAGAAACAGGAAAAGCTGAACGCGATGTTGCCGAAATTAAGAGATTTGCTTGTGGAAACTCACGCTCAGAACCGAGATAAGTCGAAACATGAAACGATCATTTCTAGCATATCCAATAATTCGTCTGTCAAAATAGAAAAGATGCTCAACTCAACAAAAATAAAAGCGAAAAATTCGAGCGAATTGCATGAAAACACTACCAAAGAAAAAACTGGAAATAGTAATATTGATCCTCCAGAAGTTACAGAAAATACAGATCCTGTAAATATGTTGAATATTGAAAATACATCAACAGCTGCAACTGTACCTGAAAATAAAACAAAACAGAAACATTTCAACGAAAGATCCGATGCCAATTTAATTGTCAATCACGAGAAAGACAATCGCAATTACCAGAAGAAAAATAATATCACCAAACTGTATCCTGTTAAATCCAGTGATGCGAAAATACAACGATACTATACTAACGATATTATAAATGGCAGTAACTATCGCGCTCTTGAACGCAACAATTCTTTCAAAGCGGACGAAAAATTTTCAAAAATCGATATTCTCGACGATGTAAAGAAGCTGAAACAAGATAAATCTGATGATCACCAGTTGATTAATGACAATCGAAAAAACGATACAAACAATGTATACACGAGCACTACATCAAAAAAATACACTAACGATCTCACGAATCATCTTCTGTCTATAAACGTCAGTGATAATAATTCAATAAATTTTAGGCGAAATTATCCTTCGAGTAACCACACCGAAGAAATTGCGCGTAATGAAGCATCGACCATGTCATCATTTTACGACTCGGAATACATCCATAACGATTCAGGATCCCATCAGCCATTGGAATACTCGACTATTGTAACAAGAAATTCCGAAGGTGAGAGAATTCGCGTGGATTTGCCAGCTTTTCTTGTGGCACCGAGATAAACACGGTGGGATAAAGACGTGCTCGTGTGATTAAACAACGAGAATTACGTCATACTCGTGGTTTTCCTCACATGCTTCCAAATTCATGATGTTTCTTTGCTTATTCATGAATCATCAGATGCATGGTTCTACTAATAATAACAATAAATGTACACCCCTTAAGAATAAATTGGCAAATATAAATAAAAGAATAAATGGAACTTTAAATTATCGATTCGTATTTATATTGCAATTTATTAGATTTGTAATTCAAAAGACGAAGAATTATACGAATTAATGCTCTCGCATCTGCTGCAGTTTATATTCTCGCTATCCTCATCAAACTATAATGTTGTTTGTTCAACTAAACACAAACGAAGTTTTTTTTATTGCTTTTAAATTTTCAAATCCACATGGACTTAATTCTACTTAGACTCGCAATATTATTAATATTTCTTCAAATTTATTTATATTATTATTATTATTTTATATTATTATTGCGTTATTATTAAGGCAATAATAATATAAAATAATAATAATAATAATATTACAAGTGTAAATTATGCTTTTGTCATATTTATATAAATAAATTTAATCAACTAATTTTGCGCATTTTCTGCTTTTTCTATATTTGCTGCATTATGATTATAAATATAAATTATACTTTTGTGACATTTATGTAAATTAATTTAATCAACTGCTTTCGCGTCTTTTTCTATATTTGCTGCATTGCGCGATATACTAGTATAAAACAATATATATATATACACATAAGATATTACTATAAATATAAATAAAATATTAGAAAACTTGTACTTAAATATTAGAAATATTTTGTTTTTTATAACGCAAATATATTTTTGTTTAATTGAAGAAAAAATAAATTTTAATAAAATAAGTATATATATTCAATTAAGAAAATAATTTTTCGATTAAAAAAGAAAGAAATATTCTGAATATGACAGATAGGAAACAATGATTAAAGCCTTAGAAATAAGTCGATGGATCGGTATACGATGATTATCCGCACTGTGTAATAAGTGAACAGGGTCAGGTCGATCTATTATATGGTTTCCTTGACATTACATCACACTTAACTCATGAATATCATTAATTCCAAATATTGCAATCATCAAATGACTATGAGTTATGACAAATGAGCTATTAATTTATCTTCACGAAGAAACTAATGAAACAAAAATTTATCAAGAATAAATTGGTAATAAATCCAACATAAATTTACTTTTACTTTGACTATTATAAAAAATAAACAAAAATTTCGATTTAACAAATAAATTCCGTTCAATAAATATCAATAAAATATTTGAATTTTAAATAAGAGAGAGATATATAAAATTCATAAAATATATGAATTATGTTAATAGATAATTTGCATAAAAATAAAAAACTTTTTGTGAATTAAATCCTGAAAATATAAATAAAAATAAAATCAAAAGAATTTTATTTTTACTTATTATTTATTTAACGAGCTTTCTGATATAACATTTTATAGAAACATATTTTTCTTTCGATAGATTGTAAAGAATACTCTATATAATTTAACAGACTCTATAACTTTCTTCCCGAATCTTTAGTCGTTTATAAGGCGTATTTTCTTGGTTATAAGAAACTTATACCAAGAGATTGAATAGTGCCTTGTTTGCTAAAGAAAAGATCGAGGGGTTACGTTATGACATTCTATTGAAACAAAGGAGTGCCAGTTTTTATAGGATAAGTAAAGCGATAAAGTTGCGTCGATCCTTTCTTAAAACGAAATTGCTTAGCAGGACACTCTATGATCCCTATTTAATTCTCGTTACATTTAATCCTATTTCGAGGCTATACTATATCTCACTGATAAAATATTTTATTTGGCTTCTCTAATTTTCATTCGTACTTTTATTTGGTCAGCGACTTTAAAAAAAAATTTTAATTCTTCTATAATATAAATTACATGAATTTTGCAAGCTTTTTATAATACTATTTTTAAAGAATTAATTATATTTTCTATTGTTTTTTTAATTATAAAATCAAAAATAGAAAAAGTAAAATAATCGTAATTTATATATATATATATATATATATATATATATAAACAAATTAGAAATATAATAAAAATAAACTATAAGATTAAAAGATAAAGCGAAAATAACTAATAATTCAAAATCATTTAAATTTCCATTTAAAATCTTGATTTTATATTCATAAATAATATAAATACATTTTATAAACATATAATTACTACAATTAAAGAATTAGATTAGAGATTCATGTGATATACAAATTAAATTAAATTAAACAAAGAGCTAAGAATCAAATGCTGAAATTAGTGCGTAAATGTAATTATTGCATATGTATAGAGCGCAAAGTACAAATGTAATTACAAAAATTCGCAAAAAATTAAGTAAGTAATTTGTCCGATACTCTTCTACTCAAAATTTCTTATAAATAAAAAAAAAAGAAAATATTTTCTTCTCTTAAACAATTAAAAAAACTTTCCTTGTGTCGAGAAAAAACGCTCGTTTACGACACATATCAAAGATACCAAATTATGTACGATCAATAGCTATAAAATCCGGCAACAAAATCCGCCGAAAGGAAAAGTTTTTTCGACCTTTTCATGGACTGAATATGCACAGGACATTAGCAACGTAAGCGGCTTACTTTTTGCGGAATAAAATTATAAACTTTTCTATGTATTTGAAATCATATTTGAACAAATCGTGTACGCAACTAAATAATTGTATTATAATTTCTTTTTGTATCTTTGACAATGTTTTTATCATGCGACTTTAATTTATATACAATTTTCTTCTTTTTTTGATTTATAAGAAATTTCGATTAAATGTAACATTGATAAGGATCTAAAATAGATCGAAATATCTGTTGATAAACTACTTGCTTAATTTTTTGTGAATTTTTGTACTTTGATTTATACTTTATGCTCTATATGTGCAATAATTACATTTACGCACTAATTTCAGCGTTTGATTCTTAGCTCTTTGCTTAAGTTTGATACAATTATATTTGATATAATTATTAGTTTAAAGAAGAATATGTAGAAATAGACATAGATTAATAATATATATAAGTTTCATTAAATATTTATCATTAAATATATTACTTAAGATTGTTTCAATACATACAAACATGACATTTTAAAAAAATATCGATAATGCTTTCAAAAAAGCACGTAACCACTCATTCGTAGAGGCAACATCTGCAATGATGCAATTTCGTACGTCAATAAATTCGTACTTTTATTAGCTACGTTTCCTAGAATTTGTAAAATGATCTTGAGGATTAAAATGTCAGTTCAAGAAAAACATAAAGGTCAAAGTAATGTCAATTTGACATGAAATTTACGTTATATTTTGCTCAATGTGACGTCAATATGACATCAAATAACTTTTAATTACTTTGATTTTGTTCTCTTTAGAAATCAGCAGCATTTTCGAATAAAAGAATATAAATCTGGAAAGAACTTAGCTATTTTCTATGTAGTTTCTATTTTTACATAAAACTAACAAAAAGCGTCTCTTATAATATAAATATAAAAAGATTCTTCTCTATATATATAACAAATGTTTCTAATAATTTTCTCCTTTGAAAAAGCGTCATGAAAACTGTGTGAATATATGCAACGATATATTTTTTATTTCGGAAATTAAAATCATTGATATAAAACCGATACTTAAACTAATTCTTCTATTTTATATAGATGTATCAATAAATAAAATAAAAGATATAACAAAATATAATATAAAGCAGGACAAATCTATCTCGATACAAGTGTAATGGCCTTTCAAGTTTATTAGCCTCTGAATGCTGGCATGAGAAACGAAAGCTCTCGGTGGGTCAAGGTTCTAGAGCTTGCGCACTGGATACAGCTTTTCCGTGCACATATTAGTAGTGGTGAATTTTTTATATTCGCGATACAGACGGCGAGATATGGCTATCCACGAGATCAACGTTCAGAAATAGCCAGCGAAAAACGCGTATTTAGTTGCCTGGAGAAGACGGGTGAGCTCTCTCCACATCTGGTCTATCGATTTCGAATGTGCGAGTCGACCTTCTCCGCAAGATTCTGGGGCTTGCGAGTAAAACTCCTCTCGAGAAGACACGCCCTTTCGCATCTTTAAAACAGTCCTTATTCGTAATGTGATCAAAGAACATTCGAAATAACAGATCCTTATATCGAAGTTTGGGAAAGACGAGAGAGCGGACCGAAGATGAAAAACATGTGCGAATAAAATGCGCCGAAAATATAAATGCGCAGTTTAGTGATGTGTTTAACGTTGAGGTACGTCCACTTGTGATTGAAATATCATAGAAAAGAAAATTAATGAATTCAAGAAAATTCGAGAATATATAGTTAGAACTTATGTTGCCACATATATATGTATAGTATTGTTTTTTTAAATATATTTGTTAAAAAATATTTAAAAACTCATGAAAGAAAAATAGGAGTTAATTTCTAGCGTTTGGATTAAAATTTATTTATCTCTTCGTGCGAGAATTCTTTTTCGAATTAGCAGTCGATTATAATTAATAGGTAATTAATAAGTCTTGTAAACACGTCTTAAAGACGCTTGAGATTTCGAAATTTTCCGAAAAAAATCTGTGTTTCTCGGAAATTGAACAATTTTAGCGTCAGGTGGATCGCTTATTTTTCAGCGTTGAAAGAGAGCCTGTCCTCTGCCATACAATATCCCTAAAAATCGTAAATCGAAAATACAATTGATACAAAAAATGAGCGCCCACAATGTGATGGCCAGCATCGGTCGCACTTTGGGTAGTCGCGATAGCAAGCCACCGGCGCCCAACGAGGTACGTTTTGCTGGTGAAGAACGAAAGGATAAACTCTACGAGCCCAAGCATAAGCAAAAGCTGGTGCGAGTGTTGACAGTAGTCGCATATGTCATATTCGTTAGCATGGCTGCCATACTGCTCTCTCTGTACTATACCTTTGTCTGGAATCCCAAAGAGCAGGTCAGGAAACCGAGGATCGGGAAGTCGGAGTGTCCTAAACTTCCTCTCCTCGACTCTCTCACGATTCCGCCGATTTTCAATGGTAACGGCATTAATCAAGAAGACGTATTTGTGCTCATAAAATCATGAAAATGTTTTTCTCGAGAAGATTAAAAGATAAACGCCAATTTTACGCTAATGCAACGAATAATACTAACTTTAATTCTACAAAACAATAATTTTGTACATTAGAAATAAATCCTAAGAATATTTTAAAGATTTTATGCTGCACAAATTTTTTATATAAAATTATAAAAAATCTGCGCTATAAAAATTTCATACGAGATAAATATGCGATAGAATTCTGCAAATAATTTTGCAATTTTTCCAATAATTTTAACTCGACAAAGTAACAATTTTACAATTAGAAATAAATCCTGAAAATATTTCAAAAGTTTTGTGTTATACAATTTTTTGATGTAAAATTATAAAAATTTACGTTATATAAAAATTTCATATAAGATAAATGTCATCTGATATTAATCTTGTGATATAATATAATACAAATAATCAATAATGTCAAAATTTAAAATATTTATATTGTAACATAAATGAAAATTTTGTATTATAAAAATATACTATGAACGTTTTAAATTCTATCTAAATATATGCAAAATTTAAAAGATGTATAAGTAAATTTCTGAATTTTTCTATTATTGACAAATATATGTATGTAGCTTTAATGACACTAATAATCTAATATTATCTAATTCTTTTTACAGAGACACAAATCGAAAGGTTGATTGCAAAATTTACAACAGTAAATAATAAACAGCCGGAGGAAATGGATATATCGACTACGCAACAACAGAAAGGCCTTTTGGAAATTTTGACGGAAACCACGGATATCGAGGAAACGTCTGTTGAGCTTACGTCGATATCGACAGCACGAGATTATCGCAACAATTTCACTACCACTGTAAACATTGACAATGATAATAGCATCACATAAACGAATATTAGATTTTTTATACTTTCTAACTTAAACGTGAAAATATAAGCTAAAAAAATCAAACTAGTAATCGTTAATAGATTAATATCTATTACTATATTCATTGAAATGCGATTTTCCTACTCTAAGGATAGAGAATGTTAGAGAAGTCGCATCGATTTAAATTTGCCAAATGACAAATCTTATAGAAATTAAAGCCATTCTTCAAGGTACTAATATAGAAGTTAGTAAGTTAAATATAGACATGTCGATAGAAATATTAGTTATATGAAAGATATTGTTGATAAAATCAACAATAAATAAAATTATAAACAAGATGCATGTATTTCAATATGTTTTATAGAATATCTCTGTGCATAGAATCATCTCTGTTATGAATTAAGTTTAATTTTATGTTAATTGCTTAATAAAGTAGTTAGATATAGTTAATATAATATAATTACGTAAATGTAAATTTTTGTAAAAGTTTATTTTTCCAAATTTTTGTGTATCTTGAAAAGTACTAAGAAAATATTTTTGTATCGTATTAATACTATATATAAAAAATAGCAAAAAATAGTATAATTAAAAAATAGAAATTTATTATAATTCTACAAATTTATTGTCGCAATTGAAATTCGTTCAATGTCTCATATAAGTTTTATATGATTAATAAAGACTATTCAATTAAAAAAAATAATTATTTAACATTTAGAAATTATTTGCTTTATTTTATTTACATAGTACTAGCTTAGCTACATAAAATTAACATTATTTCAGGCAATTAAATAGATAATTGTTTATAGTTAACCCGTCATATTTATATGAACGCACCAAAATTTCAGCATTTTATTGTATGTATTTTAGATTCAGATGTTATCATTTCGGAGGCTCTACTCTGGCCCACAATTTGAGCAAGCGAAATGGCATCGAATTTATTATAAATAACGGTTACCGACATATTGAACTCTGTGCCAGAGCGCGGATTCTGATAAAATCTATCCATTAAATTACACATTTCGTTATAAAAGTGCGGATAAGTGGGCAACTGATAAAATATGAGGTGGCGAATACCTTTCACCCTCGTTCTTCGCCAAAAGTGCCAACGTTCTGTGTAAAGGAGAAAATGCGCGTCGCTATGGAAGAACATATCCCTTGCTCGAGCAACTTTTCGGTCCTCGGTATACTCACAGATTTGCGCGAAACTCAATTTCTCTTTCATCATGCGATTCCGTACATATATAAAATCGAAATAAGATGGAAAATAGATCAATGTGTGATTATATATGGGATCCATGTATCGTGGCAGCACCTCTTTCAGGAAAAACTCCAACCTGTTGTCGACAGCTTGAATAAGATCGGACGCCTCGAATCTATGGAACACCTGCGGAATTTTGACAGTCACCTTGTGAATCGAACCCGGCTCAATTCGATTCGCCACCTTCACTTTGCCTGCGTAGTTGAGGCATTTCCTTATCAGTAACGTATTTACATGCGGCAGCTCGATACTGGAAAAGATCAATGTCTGTCTATAATATTTGCTCCAGCCATTCACGCACCAACTTCTGAGGCGAGAATAATCAATGTCGTGAGATTTTTCAGGTTGCAGATGCAAATAATCCAATATTTGATACAGGTGATCCCAATTCTGCATAAGAACGACATCAATTTGGTCTATGATTAGCAATTCTATGGATGAAAGAAAATCGTAGTCTCTTTCTGCCTCTCCTTCTGCACCTATCACCCTTCTAAGACCCAATGGTGAGCCAATTATAATATCAGAGGAGTAAAAATTCGTGTATAATTTCAAAGTCTTCTTGGTGATAGCCATACCTATCTTAAACTTGTCATCAACATTTCCTTGTAGAGTCATTTCATAATCTTTTGGTTTAGGATTCTTCTTAGGTATCGCTAATTCGTTTCCAGTAAAATCTTCCATGAATCGCAGCTTATTAATGACAGAGCCACCTTTATCCTCTCCAAATAAAATCGAGATAAACATCTCGACTATTTTCAAGCAAGAATGTTTAAATGGCACTATTATAAGCACTTTGGGCCTGACTAAACCATGATCTCTATATTCATCTGGAATTTGTCCCATTCCATCAAAATTGGACTTGGCTAACTTTGCATTATGATGCAATATTTTTGTTCGAGTCTTCAGAACATGATTAATTACATGCAAACAATAAACAAATCGTATCTGATCAGCGTTCGAAAATGTTCTTTCAGGATAATACAAATCTTGATAATTATTTATCACTGAAAATAACTCTCTTTGAAGAGGAGTTAAAGGTGCAGAATCTTTTTCAATATTATTCTTTATGTTATGATAATTAGCTTTGGTTAAATTATTCTGAATTTGTGATTTTATATGCAATTTATTCCAATCAATGCTTTCAATTAAATTTGGAACTTTACCATAATTTGTGTATTGTTTATCCTCATCATCTAGAAGCTTTTTGATTTTTATTGGCTTATCTTTTGAATTACTATTAGGTTTTGGAATCTGACATATTAAATTTCCAAGCGTGGGCCATTCCAATGTTATAATCTCCGTAACCTGTGGTGTTACAGAAACCGCTTTAAACAGTTCATCATCCATGTCATTGCGCAAATGTAAAGAGAACGGATCTCTCAAATGACCAGCATCTTCCTGAGCAGTCTCAGCATCTTCGTAATTGTCCTCCTTCATATCATTTGTATTCTCTTTAATCTTACCGTTATCATAAGATTCATCCGTTTCAGATTCTCCACTCTCTTCTTCAAATTCTTTCTTTTCAATTATATTTCTTTCCTTCCTCTTTTTCTTCTTTCTTTCTGTGCTCTTTTCACTTTCATCCTGTTTATTATTATCTTCATCTTCACTATCTGAACTGGTTACAACTGGTTTCTTTAGCTTTTCCAGTAAATTTTCATAATTGGGGAATTGGGACATAAGGAGCAATTCAGAATCAATTTCTTCTTCTTCGGAACTATCGATTTCTTTAAGTCGCTGACGTGCCTTTTCTTCCTCCACAATTCGCCTGCGAGCTTCAATCTCCTCATTTTTTGCTTCACGCTCTTTGACATAAGAAGCTTTTCTATATTCAAACTTGCCCTTTTTTTGCTTTGGTCGACTTCGCGCGTTTTCGTCAAATTTTCTTTTTTTACCGTGAAATCGTTTTCTTGGTGCCATTAAAATAATAATCCTAGTTCAATCTATAAACATAAATTACTATTAATAAAAAATGTTCAAATAAGATAACTACTTGTAATTAATTTAAAACATAATTAAACTCATAGCTTACATTTATATATTTTTTGTCATTGAATTAATTAAATTTTTCACTCAATTGCATAGTAAGAAAACGATGTAATAAACAATTTACCTAACCTAACCTAACCTTTACCTAATTTTTAATTATTGACTTAAATAATAATTGAGTTATGTACTCGAAATATATAAATTATCAAAATAATTAGATTTTAATAAATCTACTACTAATCTATTTATCTAATTAATAAATTATGCACTTATGAATGATTAACCACGTGTTTCTTGTATATATTCTGTTACACGCATACTTATAAAATACTGATGCGACAGAGGGTCTGTTCTTTTTAGCTGCACTGCTGCACTAGTGCAATAAGTTAGAAAGAGACAAACATACTTTCTTTCACTCTAACTAATTGCACTAGTGCAGCAGTGCAGCTAAAAAGAACAGACCCAGAGAGAAGACTGAAAGGTGTCATGGCCCGCTTTTAGGTGATCCCTGAAAGCGATACGCCCTCTGTTAATCTAAAAAACGTGGACATGAACTACAAAGCCAAAGTCCACGAAAGTTCTCAGAGAGTAACATATATGTGCACAATTTCTGATTCTGTTCCGTGCTATATAAAAAATGCCTGTAGTACACGAAATGCCTATGTACATGAAATGCCATCAGTGCTGTATAGCAAAACGCATATGTATATAAATATAAATAAAATTTAATTTTAATTTTTTAAATAAATTTTGTGGTCCTCTCTTTCTCCCTTTCTCTCTCTCTCTCTACACATACACAAATAAACACACACACATATAATAAATATATGTATATATAGTATAACGCTACAACTTTATTCTGAAATATCTGCGTTATGTTTAGAAATATATATATATATATATATATATATATATATATATATATATATTCAATTTAAAACATTACATGAAATACACGCGCTGGAATTACATATATATATTCTATGTGTACATAAATACAGATATATTATCTCTTTTCGAAAGATATGTTAACATTGAAAAATTTAAATATAATATATATTTAATTAATTGATTCATATCTATTTATGTCGTATCACAAAGTAAGAAGTTAAAATTTGACTTCAATCCCGAAAAATACTGTGATCTTCCAATGTAATGTTCAAAGATAAAATAAATATTTTTCTATACATTCAATGTCATATTTATATATATTTTTTTTACAAAAAAACAAAATGTCTGTTGTGGAATAAAAACCTTTTTAACCGTATTTCTATAAATCTTTTTAATTAGCAGTAAAATGATCTTTGATATTTATCAATCATTTTTTTTAATTATTTAAAAATGTAATTATTAATACATGTATAGAATTTGTTAAAGTAATTACTAATTTTTCTGAAGCTTTTATAATTAAGATTCGAAAAATATAGACGTTGCAAAATATTTTAAATATCTCTTCCTTTATATAAAATATAAAGAATTCATATGATTTATTCGAAAAATATAGATGTTGCAAAATATTTTAAATATCTCTTCCTTTATATAAAATATAAAGAATTCATATGTTCTATTCTAATATAGTCAACATTATTTGTATACTTTTATTATAATTTTCTTACCAGCATAATATTTTTATGCTTAATATTTTATATAATATAATGTACTAAATTATAAAATTTAATATAATTACAAAATAGTATTATTATTAATAAATAGATTGCACACTGTCTTTTAGTTTCTAATTATTTTCAATCATTATGCATTTCTATCCAATATATTCTCTTCTTCGAGTTCTTGGATTATTATGGTTTATTGTATTCCTTTGTATTAAAATTATAAAAATTATAAAAATTATTAAAATTATAAAAATTATCATTATTTGTCATTCCTTCCTATGGAGTCCATCGAAATACTTTCTATGGACATTTGTTCTCAGGTATAGATATTCAAATCACTGTAGTTGCCTTTTTCTCGATTATTGTCCCTTTTTCCTTCATTTTATTTAAAAATATTATTAATTAATATAACAAATATTTATATATTTATATATTTATATATTTATAATTTTGGTATTTCTCTTAGTCTGACACTTCCCCTTCGACTTGTCCGGCATAGATGACTCTATCAATAACTACGATCGGTATTCATAACTCACTTTTATATTTAAGATCATACTTAAAATTATCTTAAATATAAGAAAAGTCTATACGAATATCGGTGTATGTTACCACCGGCATAGCTCTCAGGCTCATTAAAATACTCAAACCTCCTCAGCCGGCAAATGTCTTCCCTAAGAAGGACATATCATCGAGAAGACAAAATTTTTCATTTTCTTTCAATACAGAATTTAATACAAAAAGTTAATGTAAAATATAATATTATATAATTTGAAATGTAATACAAAATAAATTAACAATCCTTTTTTTTTACGTGGGAAAAAAAACTCTCTTAAAAAACACTCAAAAAATATTGATCCCTTAAAAATTCTTAATATTAATAATATAATTATTGAAATATTTATTAATTAGTTTTCCCTAATATTATTTAAATCTACATTTCCTGATTCCTTAAAAGATACATAATATAAAATCAGCTAAATTAATGACATAATAGCCCTAACAATCCTCTACTTGTTGAATGGAAAATTAAAAAATCTTAATGATCACCTAATAGCCCTAACAATCCTATTTCTCGATTAAGTGAAAATATTCGAGGAAAGCCTATCTCTAATCACGTATATTTTAATTACGTGCCCTAATTACATTCTCTAACCGCATGCCCTAACCGCGTGAATAAATGTCCTACATTACGTACTATTGTACGTAAAGCTTTTCTTCAGGCCAATTGAACTTACTTTTCGTTGATTCTGGCCACTTTCTCGCTCGATCTCTAATCAGAGATCGAAAAAGGAGATAAACACTCCTTCTTTTGCCGATTAATTACCGGCAGATGAGCGTAAATATTTCACGCTCATCGTAACGATCGCTCGATTTTACGATCGTTTCTTAAATATTTGAATATAACTTTATTTTAACTCAAATAAAGCCAAATTACTACAAATTTCTATATACTATATTTTCTAATAAAATATAAAATTCATGTACGTGTATAACTTTTATGATATTACAAATTATTTAATCAATTAATCGTTTGGCTTTATTTTAAGTTAAAGTAAAATTTAAAAACAATATCTACAAACAAATTCTACAATGGATGAGCTATGATATAAGAAATTAGAATAAAATAAGTGCGCGTTATAAGAATAAAGTAGTATCAAAAATTGATAAAATTGTTAAAATTATTAATGCATGCTCTTGATTTAATAAACTAGTCACAAGTCTTTACAAAAAAAAATTTCTTTTCTTGATTCTCTTTTTTAAATTAATACTTCAATATATTTTCACAATAGATGCAAAGCATTTCGAAAGAATTTATTAAAAGTTATTTAATTTAATCTATCCTAGCTCATCCATTTTAAGGCAACGGACTTACTCTACAATTCACAATCTACAATCTACAATCTACAATCTACAATCTACAATCTACAATCTACATCTACAATCTCTACGAATCCGTTACCTTAAAGTTAAATAAAAGTTTTTCTCACTCACCGGCACTGATGCGCAACAGCGGAGTTGTTGTTATCGAAGCTAGTTGTCTGTAACATACAAATATAAAATTCATTTATATTAATGCTCACAAAATGCAATCAATATTTCAAAAAATTTTTATCGCGTGGAATTTTATATCCGATGTGTAAAATAATAAGCAGAGATAAACACGTGTGGAAAATTTTTATAAAATTTTAAAACTGTGTTTTAAGAAAGTTTTTTAAAAAGTTTTATATAACTTTTACAAAAATCTTTCTCTCTAATTTTCTCTTTAATTCATTTAAATAATAAGATCGAATTATTATGCGTACGATTTATAACAATTGATATACAAATAATAAATATTCACCATCAGGTTGCTCCGCCGATGCAAGATGCTTCTCCCAGGCCTCCTCCTCCTCTCATGTTGTTGACGCGCGATACTTTCAACGGCACTCCCGCACACACGAGCGATATTTTTATATCGCTATTTTCGTTATTTTACGCGCGATACTAAACGGCACTCCCGCACTAATTCGGTACGATTAAAAATTTTGTCGCGCGATGTATATATTTAATATATATATACTTTGTCCGACACTCCCGGTTTCGGTACGAGCGAAAATCTCATTTCATTTCGCGAGAATCAATTTCGAGCCAACAGGTCGGGAATGCAACGATACAACGAGCAAAGATTAGGCCCGAACCGGAAAGAAGACGAAACGATTGACGGAATAGAGGAAAATAAAGTTCACCAGCTCTTTTTCGCGCATAATTATCCTATCTCGTATCGAACCTGGACCCGCTAAGCACGATTTCAAGTGACCCGCACGGATGCTATATCACTAGCGCAGTACACAAGGCTGATAGACGGTAAAAGAAGAGGATACCCACATTTTTTAAAAGCTAACATTCAGCAATTTAGAAAATGGGGAGGCAACCCCTTTTACCGAGCGAAAATCGTGCCTAGGGGAATCCACTCGACTCCTCGACAGGGTTAACACACGCTAGGCGTGTGGCTGTAGGGTAGACGAGCAAAGAGAAGGGACCCATTGACGACCATTTCGAACAATCGATCGAGTTCTAACCGATTCGGGCCAAATCAATTGACGAAGCAGAGCGTGTTCATCACTAAGCCGATCGAGCGCGAAGCTCGAACCCGCGCGCCCATGTACATTTTGTACTGGACATACGTTCTGCGCGGCCGGCATCACCAAGTGCCACGTTGCACAAGGCGCGAGTACGTCGCAAAGCAACGACTCGATGAAACATCCCAGTTAGTTGGCGTCGGAAGGAGAGACTCGTTGACAAAAACGAAATTGGGATTTTGAAAACGCGAAAACGCGATAACGCGATAATACTACAACGCGAAAACGCGGTTACGAAACGCAGCCGTCCGCGGCACGTTGACGGCACCGACGACGCGAAAGGGTACTTAGCTTCCCTTTCAGGTACCATAAGATTTATCATAAATAGAAAAATTTAAGATAAATCTCAAGACACCATCCAAGTACTAAGCCCTCCCACCACGACAAGGTGTACCCCTTGGGAGGGTTATATTATATATAA